CTTTGTGTAGGCGGATACAATTAGCATATAGATGATCTGGCATTCAAGAAACAGCCACAAAGAGATGAAAGATTTACTTTCAGCGAGAAACAACCAATCAGAAAACTGTGTTTGTCTGATAACAATAGCCTATAATATGTATATGAAAATCTATAAATATGTGTTGATTGCCTTAACAGACGGTCTGTTGCCTGGTCCTTGTCTTCTGTTGTTACAGTAATAGTAGTAGTGTAACAACAGAAGACAAGGGCCAGGCAACAGATCGTTTTATTAGGAAAATTAACACGTATTTATATAAATTTCACATACATTATTATAACTTAGTCAAGTAGACAAACGCAGTCTTCTGATTGGTTGTTTTCGAGTTCCTCGGAAAGTGGAGCCATCTATCTGTGAATCATATTTTCTCACGTTTAAGTTTGCTGTGATTGGTTGTTGAAACAGCCTTGTTCATATTTTCTCACGGCCCATATTAGTGACCTAGACATTAACATAGATTCATGTCAACCAATCGGCTAGCAGACTGCTCTCACCACAGTAGTAGTAGTAGTAGTAGTAGTAGTAGTAGTAGTAGTAGTAGTAGTAGTAGTAGTAGTATGAAAACAGTTTTCAATAGATCAGTCTCGGGTGAACAACACTTCAGAAACTGATTTATGTTAATTTTAAAATTAAGCTGAGATATTGATTACAGCAATCAAAGATTGTTGACTTAAAGTGTAGAAAATCTGCGTCGGAGACTGGAGTAATATCATGAGTTGGGCTTATGAGGTTCTCGAATTGAATATACGTATGAAGTCACATGTATGTATATGACTTTTTTCCCATTTATTATGTTTTTAAAAATAAATTAAAAATTTTAAAAAAAATGCGCCAATACATTCCTGGTGAAACCTGGAAAAAAACTCTTGAGAAAGAACAACAAAAAGTTATCAAAATGGGTTCATTAAAACAGTGCGCTTAAACGCTATGTTCAACTGTAACAATCAACGCGTTACCTTACCTGGGATCTTTTAGCTCCTGTCATTAAGGTCTTAAAAGAAAACAATAATGGTTGTTTAAATGATATATATATATATTATCTAGACAGCTTAGATATACTCAAGTGATGCTTTGTGCCACCTTAATTTCATTCAACTATGACGTAATCCCAGACAAGCCACCTTACTGTATTTACATGGCGAATAACTTGTGCTGCGATGCAAGCCTGAAACCCAGTGGTATCTGATGATAGCAACCTTGGTGGAATCGAATCCACAATTTGCAATGCATACAGCTCGAGGGTGAAACTTTCGGCGCAGTTTACTTCGGAAACCAGGCAGGCTCTACTGGTTGATAATTAGTAGTATTCAACTACTCATCCTAATTAGTCAGTAGTATAGTATACAGTTTTATGCAAATGTGTCCGCTTTCTTGATTACACTTTATGGTATCAACCATATCACATACTGTGCGTGATCTGAACAATTCGGTTTTCAGAAAGGAAACAATGTGATGAAATCTTATCTCCTACAGCTGTATAAATTGTAAATTGCTAAACAAATGACGAATATGATTTATAGTGTCACTAGTTCACCCAAGTAGCCAGCCAGGAATGGTACGGTTTGAAACGATTCGGCGCTCTGACATGAGACAAACTGCGTACACCGCTAGTGAGATTGGTCGCAAACTAGCGGAACAGTCATTCGGTGTTCAGGTCATCTCAGTCTGGCTAGCAACCACTAATGTTCATCTCAATCGCAGAACTGTTCATTTGGCAAAATGACATACAGTTATGTTTGAATACCACAAATTTATGTTCTTTTTGTCTGTTTTTCATGCTTTCTGTACTGGTTTACAAGAATCTTAAATTTCTCTTCTGTACCATTTAACCAGTCTCTCAGCTATTGAGGATAGTCTCTAAAGAAATCATCTCATATAGACTACTTACGAATTCTTGTCGACAGCACACACCAAGTATGAACTATATATATATATATATATATATATATACTGATATGTTCATTAAATCTGTTGTTTAAACCATACTCAACAGGCGCAATCAATTCTAAAGACAATGGTTTGTGCATTAAATAACCAACTATGAAGGCACATCAGAAGTTACTAAAATAGTTTATAGTTCAGGCATCTTAGCCAATAGTTTTCCGTTAGACGGTAATACAAATTGCACGATAAAATACTTGACACAAGATAGTCTGATATATTTGACATGTTGAGCAGTTTAAGCGAAAATGACAGTAGCAACTGATCAACCGATTAAAACTATGAGAAAAAGGGGGATGAAACAGCCTCAAAATTCACTTTGTGGTTAATTAATATTGTGCATCCACATTGTTCTTGAAATATCAAAGTGTTATGAGATAACTATAGGCAAATTATTCATGAGAAATGGCTTTAGCTTTCTATAGATGATGATTATTTTGAAATTCAAGTACAAATCTAAAAAGATAAATATATATTGGTGAATGTAAACTGTACTTCCACAACATAGTAGCTTTATTTGATAAAGGAACATAGTGATAACGTTTCGAGTACAATTTTCCGCTTTTATAATCATATTACTATTATTATTATTGTTCATTTTGAATAATTTCTGACGAACTGTTCATCAAATTTCTCCCAGGAAATAGACAACACATGTATAATGGTAACCTCAGAATAGTAGGGAAGATTTGTAACTCAAACGATTAATTTTGTTGTATTTGCATTCTCTCTCTCTCTGTCTAAACTGGGTGGCCTAATTGCTTTCATTATCCGCCTTCTAGATATAACATCTTCAATGCCAACTTCACTGTGAAGTCATCTTTAGGGAAAAAGAAAGCTTCACAGTTCAATCATTCAGTATAGAGAACATAAATACATTCCATTTCCAAAAAAATATTCGCCAATTTAAGTAATTACACATCACAGTAAAATACAGTTAGTGCTAAAAATAGACATTATTGTCGAAATAATGGATACTGAACAAAGAGTACTCTTTTCGATAAATTCATCATCAGGCTCTACATTTATACATACATTATAGTGAATGCTCTAGGAACTTGATTTTTCGTGCTCGAGAACATCTCCCAGCATGGCTAAGTAAAGGTGTAGTGAAAACTAATAACAGCTCGATATTGGAACATCTGGTGCAAACAGGCAACAAAGCCAGCGTAGATGAATCCTTCTCTATATTATACCGGGTGCCAAATAAATTACCAAAAACATCGAAGCTCCGTAGGCTCCAAACAGCAGAGGCTATTGCGATTCGCCTTAAACAACCAACACTCTGTGTCCAAAAGAAGCAAGTTCAACCCCTACTATTGCCCTGTCCAGCCTTCAGTAGAAGCTATAAACCCAAGAATTTGTACTATTATCTTTCTTAATGTTTCCGACATTCAGCTTATCCTATGTTGATGCGATTCAGGTGTAATTTATCAATATTATTGATTTGATGTTGTTTAAACATTAATGTCACTTATAACACTAATTCATTCATTCACTATAATGTATGTATAAATGTTGAGCCTGATGATGAATTTATCGAAAAGAGTACTCTTTAGATATGATAGAGAAGATTTGTAGCTCAGGTGGATGATTTTGATGTGCTGAAGATGTCACCCAGTAAGGTGATGAAAGCTTCGCAAACTAACCATCCAGCTCAGAGAACAAAACCACATCTTTGTTCAGTATCCATTATTTAGAAAATTTTAATGGGCATTTTTAATCAGACATTATTGTGACTGATATTGATGAGAAGCTGCCTGATATGCGGACTATTTGTTGCATGCAACGGTGAATGAACTGAAATAATGTTACTTGATAAGACTGTTTGGGATTTCAGCTTTATCAGTTTGGAATGTGTAATGAGAGAGACTGTGCAAGCCGTAGTGCACAGAGATGATGATATATAGCAGTGTTCATTATACTCAAAAGAGGAACTGAAATATACTCTCAATTGTTATAATTATTCATAGAAGGATATGAAAATTTCACTTTATTTTCGGTAGACAGCTTACGTTAGAAGCAATAATGTTTCGTATTAACTTTTTTTTTATTTCATGTTAGTAGCGCAACCATTAAAAATGGTTGTTGTTCAGCCACCACACTGGCATACAGTCATCCATCATCGCCTTCGGATACGTACCCTTCTCACTTAATTGCCTTTTTACATCACAGACTTCCATTAATATTTTGACGTAATAAACAATTACGGATACACTTACAAAAATAGTAAAATACTGAATAACAGTGGATCACTAGAACCATTCAGGCGAATACAGACAAAACAGAGATGAGATGAAGATATCTAGCCACCAAGTCACTTCTACCACTTACCCGATTCAGACAAGTTTCATTTCAACTACAGGTAGCAGCAGTACGGATGAGAATGTTAAAGTCAAATAATATTGGGAAAGCAAGATCGGCCTTCATTACTGTGAAATCAATGGGAAATCCATATGAATCACCGTAACAAACAACATCCTAATTTTCAGCATTAATTCCAAGTCAGCGTTTCTATATTACTTCAGATAACTGGCGTGTACATCATCACAAGTATTTCTAACAGACTGAAGACTTTCACCAACTGCTGCCTTTGCTAAATGATACTGAACATCAGATGATCCACCAGAAAGGATAAGCAAGCAAAGAACACTAGAAGGAAGAGGATCAATCAAGGACCCAATAGATATACTGAAGGAGATGGAGACGAATTTAGCATACACTGTAGAGACCGTCAGATGATATCACACTGTAGGACTTCAAGTGGTACTTGGAAACGAAGAGACGGGTTGTGCATGAACCTGTGGGTCACATGAATATGATGATGTTAGGATAAAATCAAAGCTTGTGGGAGGTAGTGGAGTTATACAATTGAAAGTGACGACAGAGAACCGAATGCAATGTAGATGTGGCGGTCAAAACACAAGGGACGAATAAGTTGTAGCTAAAACTATATACCATTTGAAATAACGCAGCTGGAAGCTGAAGCATGTGCAAAAAAAAAGAACAAAGTGACTAACCTCTTTAGGCTGGAATGGCATGAAGAAACAATCCATCATTTTCATTAAACTGAAGCATAGTTGTCCGTCTGTGGTTGTAATCACTTCTTTAGTTTCACTTCGAATAAAATCAATTGAACTCTGAAAATATAAATAGAAGGAATCATTTAAAAAGAAGAGGAGTGAGAAACTTTTGTTTAAGCACTTTTTAATGAACAAATATAACACTCAATGAAACTAGTGCGCTGAGTGATGCTACCAAGTCTCGTGATGAAACTTCTACGATCAGACATCGCATAAAAAGGCGTAAACAAAATCGTTAACCTCAACTACAGACCTCCCCTGATGTAACAAACAATAATTCACAAGAGTCTAGGTCGATAGTGCCATTCTACGAGTTCTTTGACTGTTGTTTTTAAGCCATGAACAGAGGTGCAGAGTCAGAGGTTGGAAACCTAAACATCTTACGAATCAGCGACTAGAGATCGTTGGTGATTTGGTTTAAAGTCGTTCTGTGAATATGTTTACACGCATCTTGATTGTGCCAACTGTTACGATGAGACTTAGGAATGGAATAAATTAAATAAATCCATGTTATGATTATCTACTCTAGAAAACCTTCAAAATATATATTCGAGTCAGTGCATAGAATGTGGACCGTTTCTCTCGGTGATATAAAAACTAAGGTATTCTAGGTAATCGTGAGTGTTAGGCGACGAAAATTGAAGTCAGCTTTGACTGGTTTTCAGTAGAAATCTATTCGATATAACATATGGGTACTAAGATAGAGTTTACGCCATGAAATCTGTGGATTTCATTCATGCCTTCTCGGATATGTTGGCTAGTAAAATCTGACAACAGACAATTCTATAACCTTAACTCTGTAATTAGCATAACCGGACAAGAGTTTGCAAAACATAATGGTATCCAATCACGCGTATGGTTTGAGTTCGATCCTCAGTCGACTCACTCCTACACCTCCCTAAACCGCTGGTAAGGTCGTTAATGAGGGTTGGTTGGTTATGAGACTAGCAACCCCACCCCGTAAAAATAAATACCATTACCACTGAAACTTCAAGGCTCTAGGATGAAGACCTATGTTCCACTTGGAACGTAAAAGAATAAAGTAATAGTAGTAATAATAATAAACACTGGTACAGCTTACTTCCATGTAAGAATCAAATAACCGTTGTAGTTTATCACGATGATGGTATATGGGATCTGGCAACTGTCGTATCCAACAGTGTACAAACGGATCTAATCCAAGAATACTCGGTTCTAAGTACACCATACCGCAACGACTAACAGTAGCTGGTGAGGCGACAGCTAGATCAGCCACTTCAAACATCATTGTCATAGCTTCGGTCAACTTGATAATTTCACCACTGCTTAAGCATAATTTTTTATTGTCATCTAGTACAGTATTCATATTTTCAATCCAAATAGCATCCACTGGACCATCGAATACATACCAACGCTTATCATCATCGCATACACTGACACCATAACGTATCAATGTACTTAGTATACCATCGGTCCATTCATGAGTTAATAAATCAAATTCTCCATACAATTGTCCCATTGTTATAGATTTGGGATTCAATACGTATGTGTGTACAGTTTGAAAGTATGAACCATCTGGTGCCGGCTTCTCACGTAACGAAGACATTGCATCCTGCAGTACTTCATAACACTACAAAAGAGAAGGGAAACAGGCAGTCGGAAACAGTTGAAAATAAATCATATCTGACAATTTGACCAGCCATAAAACAACTAGTATGATACAAGATTTCATCATGAGCTGACATCAGTTAGAGAACCATTGGAAAACCTATAGGGGGTACTGGACAGCTGTTTCGTCCTAGTTTGGGACTCATCATCAGCACTCACCCACGCATCATAGTGGTTTGGACCCAGGACCTTCTGGTTACAAGGCGAGCTCGTAGACCATTGAGCCATTGAGAACCGATCCAATGGTTCTTGAATTCTAACACTTGAATAACTAGTATGATAACTTAATAACTTGTATTCGAATGTTTTTGACTGCATGTATTAATTATTTACTACAGACAGTGTACTTCTACAGACTGAAAGTGTACACTGTGATTAAACAGAGAAACTCAAACTGCACATAGACGTCGGAGATTAGTCTGTGTAAAAACAGCTAGATTTCCTGTGTGACAATAGAAATCAAATCACTTGAGACTGTGGAATGTGACTTAAAATAAATAGAACTCAGGACTTACCTTCATATAAAACATTCAATCAGATTTATTTTTACACTCAATATTATTTCTATTATTTCTATCTTTCTTTTATAAGACTTCAGGGTTTAACTGCCAAAACTGTGGAAACTTCAGACGATTAGATCATCACTTTGTATCTTCAAATATTTTTACTCTAAAAATCTCTATTTAACAAATTTTGGTACTATTGCAAAATAAGTAAGGTGTACCACTTGGTTTCTTTTGGGTAGTTTAAGATGGGCATATATCTTCTCCTACCTAAGATATATCGCTTAGAAATACTCCCACTAAAAGTAAAAATCTAAAACTTCTATTCTTTTAGATGCTACAGAATTCGCAATAGTCAACAGTTTGGCAAAAATATGAATCAGTTTTATTTATTGGGTTTGTCTTTAAATAAGCTGAACATAGACGTCAGCTGAACTCAGTCATTCTGTTGTATGAATACGAGATTAACTACTAATCTTTCATAGTTCACAAGTTTAAGTGTGGTGAGAGCTGTCTGGGAGCCAAATTTGATAGACAGCAATTCACGTCAATGTTTACGTCCCATATCTTGGTTATGAGGAAAAAACAAGAACAAAGACTAACTCAACAACCAGTCACAGCAGACTTAGTTAGCGTGGGCAGATACGATTAGCAGATATATGATATGACCTTCAAAGAAGCGGCCAGTAAGAGATGACAGAATAACTTTCATCGAGAAAACAACCAGTCAGAAGACGCTGTTTCTCTGCTAATAATAACGAATAATAATGTGCCTAAAAATCTATAAATATCTGTTGATTTTATCAATAAACGATCTGTTGTCTGACCTTTATCTTCTGTCGTTGCATAGGTAGGAGAAAGGCGTAGATCGTCAATCAGTTGGATAATGTTCTCATCGTAGTTTTCTTTTTTACATAAATGGATATGTTGTTACAAACATTAGTTTGGGAAAGAACAACAAGTTCAGCAAAGACAACTACCTTTCCAGCGACTTTATTCTCAAAAGCAGCTGAACAATCCCATTTATATACATAAGTTTACATAGATACAATTATTATTTGTCTAACTCCACATAGTGACGAAGGAAATTAAGGGTCATAATAATTTCCAACTTGATATCAAGTAGTTTTTCAGCTACTAAAGGTGTGAATGGGATGAGCATGGTAACAAGATGACAGTATACTTTAAAATTGAAAAAGGGGGAATGAAGGGGATGAAAAAGTGGGACTAAAGGAGACAAAATGAACTAGATCCATGGTAAATGTTTCCTTTGAGCACACAGCTCCTGCTTTTTGAGGCATATGGCGAAGGCTTCTGCAGTAAAAAAAAAGTCTGAAACACATTGTCTTTGGTGGATTTTTGTTTACTTTGTAAACAGTTTTCTCTAGGGAAGTGGAGATTCTGCTCTCAAGTGTATCTGATGCTAGGTCTCCCCTGAGTTCCAGATTGAAATATAGTGTTTTTTTTGCACTGAAGTGCATTTTACCCGTTTTGGATTTGGTTCCATGTTCCTCTACAAGAAACCCGCTGGGTATCCAATTTGAGCCAGGATGTTTCTGTGAAATAGAAGCTCTTCTTCTAAGCAGTCATCGCTGCAAATTCTTCTGGTCTGTTGCTTAATGAAGACATAGGCGACTGAGAAACGCAAACCTTCGGAACTGTTCTGTGCGCCATCTTTATTCACTTTAACTACTTCTATAAGCTTTATTCAGTCATATGTTTTGCTAAATTTTCCATAATTAAACTCTTAACATTCTTGATGAATTATAAGTAGTTATTTAAACAAAAGCCTTACTGAAGACTTGTACCTATGAAACAGGAATTTATTTGTAAGGCCAATAACTGTTCACTTGCAATATGCAGGACGTCAGTTACTTAATTACAAACGCTAACCAAACAGGTTTAATTCCCATGCTTATCTGTAAGCAGATTGATAACACTGACTAAAGACTTACTTTTGTTTTACCAGACCCAGTGGGGCCAACTAGCATAAGTCCATGTCTGACCACCGTCGTTTCATACAACTGGACGCATTTGTTTAGGAAGCCTTGGAAAAATAAGAAAGAAAACTCGGCTTATAACGACTCAGATACATTTTACTTTTCAGCAAAAATAACAGTAGAGGTTTTGAAGCACATTTAGATCTGAATACTAATGCTAATACTATTCCATTGGTTATTATCTTTTATGTCATTGAATTCAAACGAAGAGAATTGTAATGAACAATTTTGAAATGACTTGATATGCAGTAGAGTGGTAATAATAATAATAATAATAAGTGCAGTGTATAGATTTAAAATGTTTAAACCTTGAATTCAGCATATTCCAGTACCTAGACGGCGTGTATAGGGAAGTTCGTCACTGCGATGTTTGCAATTCATTTCAAACAATTGCTTACAGGTATTCGACGATTAATTCCTTGCATGAATGCTTACACTCTGCTGATATAAGTTTGAACAGCTTTACACTACTTTTACATATGTAGATATATACTATTATTTCAAAGAAATTACTCAGAAAATTCCTATGAATCACAACAAGAACTTTGTATCAGATAGCAAATTAATCAGTAGGATGTAGCCAATACTGCGGTCAAAAAGAGTTGAGTATGTGAAGCCCGTTTAGCCCTTTTAAAACTTAGAACACGTGAAATGCAGTGACACATCCAACTGTATTTTTATTAACTTAAATACTACTTGTGACCACACATACCTAGGGCGGATTCATCGATCCCTATTTCTAAGTGGCTTTAGAAACAGACTGCATCTCCACTTCCTGTTCATGGTGAGAGTAAATGGCCCAGCTCTTCAGCATACTGTATAAATATGGTACAATATATATGTTTTTATGTCTGTTAGAACCACGATAGGCGGGGGGTATCCAAAAGTACGTGGAGTACTTAGCGATCGAGACGTTCAGGTTATATTTATGTGTTCACAAATACTTCATCATCACATTAGAGCCTCCTTGGCAAATTTTGTTTTGAAACGTATACTGATGTACTATTATTGCCACATTAACCTTCAGCATTTTAATCTGAAAAATGTTCATTTTCTCATTCATCAGTTCTTTATTACCTTTTCGTACAAATTCATATCATAAATAGTGTGTACGTGATCAGATTGTTCGAAATCTGTTGTGTTAACGCACTACACGCTGCAAAGAAATCACGCTGATCAGGAGTTAGTTTCGAGGGATATGTTTTGTTTCAAATATTATCATGAACTGATATCAGATCACGAACCACTAAAGACCACGGAGTACTGGATAGCTGTTACTTCCTAGTTAGCGACTCATCGGCAGTACACATTCAGCTGGGTTCGAACTTAGGACCTTCCAGTTACAAGGTGAGCTCGTAGACTGTTAAGCCACTGGGACCCGATCCAACGGCCTCTAAATTCCAGCTTCTGTCGATACAAGATAAACCGTAAACAGTAACCAATGTCGTCGGCTAGTAATTGCCCTCACCCTCGACTAAATGAATCCTACTGGTGACGAAAAATACTCTCCGATGATACTAGCTGGTAATTGCTCAAAAATCCCGAATTAGGAGAAGTTAGAGTTCATGTGCCACTAAGTTAGGTTCCAGTAGTTGAATAGTCTGCAAACTTTCCTTGTGGCAGGAAGGTCTTCGGTTCGGACCCAGATGAGTATGTACTGTCAATGAGACCAAAACTAGGACGAAACAGCTGTCCAGCACTCTCTAGTTTTCAACGGCTCTCTAACTAATATCAATCAATCGACGGGAAAATCAAAAATTCAGTTCAATAATTAATATGACCCGTTGCACAAGAGGTGGCTCTCGTGGCCCAAGTGGTCTAGTGGATAACGCTTTGGCGTTTGAAACTATGAGCACTGGTTTAGAGCCTCGGTGGGAACATCATCACTCACTGAGAAATGCAGGTACATCCAGCTGACGGATCCTAAATAGGACGAAATGCACTTCATCCTGGATTCCACTGCTAGCCACCATCCACCAATTGTTTAGTATAGTGATAACTGCCTAACAACATAATGAGATCATAATAAGCGTCAATGCTTGAAGCATGAAATCCTGGTAAATAGCTAATCGCTTGTAGCATGGCTTCATTGACTGACTCCAGGTGCATTCAGAATAAAAGAAATAATTGGTTTTTTGTTAAAAAAAAAGGAACAGTTTTGTTGGTATTAGATGATTGATAGCAATCGGCAGTAAGCTCTACCTACACCTAGGTTTCGTGCTAGTTGGCACTCATCAGTCAGCAAGGAGTATCTGCAAACTCGAAGGAACTCATGTCTCTTCTAAGATTTGAACCCGCATCACCCAATGAGTAATGTAGTCAGAGACGTTACCACTGAGCTATTCAGGTTCGTGATTGACCTCTTTTAGGACTTTATTGGAGATTTTCGATTGGCCATCTGTCTAGCAAACTTGACTGATAGAATTCCGTCTGCACCAAGGTTAGGACTAGACGTATTACACTACTTACTGACTAAAGTCCAAACAAAAAGTAACAGTTTATAAACAATATATTAAACAATTCCGTTTCATACAACTCACCGTCAACATCCATTAAGCCTAATTTACCACAAGACGTCTTCAATGCAATAGTTAAATCGCCATAATCTATTGGTTTCTCGCTAAATTTTATGCAATAATAAGAAGAAAGTGAAAGTGTAACAGAAAGTATTAAGCCATATACTATTTTAAATTAACTTAAGAGAACAATTAAAGGAACTGATTTTCACAGTCATAAGTTGAACAACATGAACAAAGCGAGATATGAACGCGTTTATAACTTACATTAAGTATCTATGTGTTATGTGATAATTATTTTTGAAAACAGAAGGAAAGTAAACAGGATAATTTCACATTTCAAAAGAAATTGAGACACTACTCACTACTTACTTTAACATTTTTTTAATTTAAGCAAAAAGCTCACTACCTTCACATTTATGGTCTAAACTGTACTTATGATTGATTCTGTCTGTAAAAGTTAATAAAGCAGGATGATTTAATGAATTCATCAAATTTTGGTAGAACTCGTCAGCTGAATACTCTACATACACGGATATATACACACTACTGAAATTACATTGTGAGATATAAGACTGATAAGTAAACAAACTACATTGAATTAATCATGCAGAAAGACACGTGCGAATGTTTTCCAGGACATGTTCAAATAGATAAGGGGAGAGAGAGTATGAGAGATCAAAATTAGGATAAATGGCATTACGCTTCAATTACACCACTTAGATAAACAATTAGTCATTAGGGAATATAAGGAGAATTGCAAACAGACTAATATCAATAGTAATAGTTATAATAACAGTTTTAATAGTGTTGAAGTGAGTTAAGATAATCTTACTGATAAAGCATAGTTTTAAATGAATCAAGAATAATAATAATAACAATAATAATAATAAGAGGTAGAATAATAGTAATAACAAGTAGAGAATAATAAGCAAAACGTATTACCATGGTAGATTCAGAGTCACAACCATCTCCTTTGTACACAGAGAGCTGGTTTGTAAATTCGAATTGCACAAGCCTCTGCAATTGCAAGCATCTTCTTGCTTCTTTGTTTGCTGACAATGGTGAATGACTTGACCGCGTCGATATCATGTCCGTAATCCACAAGATGTTTTGCTATTGAGGATTTTGGCACTTTGCACTCAGCTGTTTTCAACCATTTTGGCAAATGATCCATCATGCGAGTAGATAATCGCCTTTCCGTACGACCTATGTATTTGCTGCTACAAACACACTGAAATTGATATATGCAGTTTGAAGTGTCGAGGATTGGCGACTGGTCTTTCCCAGATTGTTGAAGCACTCGCTTGGTGGTGTTAAGGATAACAAGTTTTGCAGCATAATAAGTTCTCTTGATGGCTTTGTCGAGTCTTCGTTTCACTACTTCCTGTACGTCATCTCCTTTGAATGGCAAATTGATATAGACAGGTTTCTTAGGAACTGTTGGAATTGTTTTGCAGGGGGTAGTTTCTTTAGAGTATTTTATAATGAACTTCTCAGGATATCCATTCTTAGATAAAAATGGATCCATTTCAACACTGTTATTATTATAACTATTACTATTGATATTAGTCTGTTTGCAATTCTCCTTATATTCCCTAATGACTAATTGTTTATCTAAGTGGTGTAATTGAAGCGTAATGCCATTTATCCTAATTTTGATCTCTCATACTCTCTCTCCCCTTATCTATTTGAACATGTCCTGGAAAACATTCGCACGTGTCTTTCTGCATGATTAATTCAATGTAGTTTGTTTACTTATCAGTCTTATATTTCCCAATGTAATTCTGAAAGTATATATATCCGTGTATGTAGAGTATTCAGCTGACGAGTTCTACCGAAATTTGATGAATTCATTAAATCATCCTGCTTTATTAACCTTTATTGCTTGTTTTAAATTCGTATCTGGGAAATAAATGTTTTCGATTCTGTCTGTATTGAATGAGTCTATTTGATTTAACCCACAGTGATGCAGTATTAATAACTGCTGCCGGCGATCATTACTTCGGTGTCTTTACATAACTTACTAACTTGCTTTATATAGCCTAACTGCCTGTCGCTTTGTTGTTGTTGTTGTTGCAATTTTCCATATATATCCAGAATACGTGTTGTGTCATTTCGATTCTACATGTTTGGTGTGTACATTCGACGAACAAAGACTCGCTGACTAACCTCTCTCTCTCTCTCTCCACCTAACTTTATTTCTTTTTACATGCAATCGAATGTAATGCAATGGTGGAGCTTTTTTCTGAGTTATTCCAGCTAAATCCCCATGTTCCGATAATCTAATTCATCTCGATCTATTCGTTTGACCTATGTAATTGACTATACAGCCACTAAATGGCATTTGGATCCGTCAGGTCCTCATGTGGAAAAGGCTTGTTCCAAAGTGAGACAGTTGATTTAAATTCTATCCTAATTACCACCTTGTTGAGAATCCCACCTAAGGCTTCTCATATTACTTCTTTTTATGATAGTACTATTCAGGTTTTGAATTCCATATTAATAATTATATTATTTTCACTACTTAGATCACTACAAATCTAAACCTCAATTTGGAAATTAATTTGCCATTTACACAATTCGAGGTGGCATTACATCAGAGCTCCCTTCGGAAACCAAAATTATTCAAATAACAATGTTCAGACATTGTGATCTGCTTGATAACCAAAAAAAGCAAGAACATTTGCATAAAACTGTATACTACTGACTAATTGAAATGAATTTCCAAGTATTGGTTTTGTAGGGATTTTGTTCGATTGCATGGAGGATTTAATCATGAGCTGACATCAGTTAGAGAACCAATGGAAAGCCTGCAGGGGGTACTGGATAGCTGTTTCGTTAGCCTAGTTTGGGACTCTTCATCAGTACGCACCCACCACAGCGGTTCCAGCACAGGACCTTCTGATTACAAGGCGAGCTAGCTCGTAGTCCATTGAGCCACTGGGACCCGATCCAATGGTTCTTGAATTCTAACTTCTGCCGATTCACGACACAGCGCGGCCACTTCGCAATGTCTTCTTTGATGAGTTACTGCCTCATCTTCGACCTGCTGTGCCCTACTGGTCACGGCTTCCCACTAGAACCTTAGGTTAACTGCCTGAATAGGGCCAGTCGCTAGTGAGCATCAGAATAATTTTCGAGTATTGGTTTTGTAGGGACGAAACAGCTATCCAGTGCTCCCAGGCTTTCCAGTGGTTCTCAAACTGATGTCAGCTCATGAATAAATCCTCCATGTAATTGAAGTGAGTAGTTGTATATATTTTTCCTTCACGTTCCAGTGGAACATAGGACTTTAAGCTAGAGGCTTGAAGTTTCTGTAGCAGTGTTTATTTTTACAGGATTGGGTTGCTAGCCTCATGCCCAGCCTTTCCTCGTTACCAGCATTATTTCTGGCTTAACGAGGTAAGGGAGTGCGTCGGCCGGAGATCGAACCCCGGGCCATGTGCATGGTCGGCGAGCGTCCTAACCGCTATGCCACCATCGCGCAATAGTTATATATCACTCACATAAACCAGTAGTGCTTACTAGCCAGCCACATTGAAGTGATCTAAACACCGGACGGCTGTCTCACTCGTTTGACGCCGTTCTCATCAGCGTTGTGCTGAGTTTGACTCAGGTCAGGGAGTCCAGTCACTTCAAACCACTCGATTTCGGGTTAGCCGCCTGGATAAACTAGTAATTCTCAATTTGCACCACTATACTTTTTTCCTTTTAGTTCACGATTCACTTCCAAATGAGTTCTGTCACGTAGTTATCCACTTGCTGACAAAAATCTCCTCAGATATAGAATTACTTTTATAAGCTAAAGTATGCATATGTAGCCGTTCTGCTTTTGTGAAAGTTTGACTAACAAAACACCAGTCGTCAGTACAATATTAGAATAAGCATAACATGATAGTAGTAAAGCCAGTCCAATATGTTATAGGCATTGCTTTATAACTGCAGGATTTGAGACGTCAGAGATCTGTGGAGAGAATTCAGATAAAATGAATTGAAATTACCATAGATCTGTTCGTCTACCCATTTCAATTAGTATTTACACTGATGATTTTTCCATTTGTCTGCCTATTCACTTATTTAGAAAAGTTTGCTTTCTATCAATTAATTGGTGTATGAACTAAAACCGAAAATTTGATCTTAACAACGCATCCAGCTGACGAGTCCCAAATAGGACGAAATGCGCATCCTGGATTCCACTGCTAGCCACCATCCACCAATTGTATATTAGCAAAGCAGTATATTCAAAAACAAAAGTGTGATGAAGCATGAAAATCAATCCTTGATTCATGGTTATAATATATCTTCCAAAAGAGATATACTGTGAAGTAATTCAACAAAACATACCTTATGTTCGGGAAGAGATCTGATACAATACCATTAAAGAGTTTCAAGTCATCAGCCAAAAATTTAGGCACATTCACATCCCGGATAGCCCGCAGACAAATGAGATCCTGGAAGAAGTAAGAACAGATATTTTAATCAATGTTAAGTCAACACACACACACACACGCAATCGTCAGTGGCTATCTCTGATATTTAGCAATCACAAAATCAAGGAGTTTCGCCATACTTTTGTATAGTTCACAGTGTTGCAGTAGTTTTAAGCTATTCTGTTGCATTTGTCAACCGTCGTAAGAGTAGCAGGAGGTAGGCGGAGTATAATAATGTCTTGAAGAAATCAGAACCCCTTGAATTAGAGTTCAAAGGTAATGACAGAGAAGAAGGAATTGTTAGCAGAATAAAAGACTCAGTATTAAGGACCTGTACAAACTGATCCTACTGTGTGAAAAACCCTGCACAGAGTCTAAAACAAACCAATGTCTTACTCTAGTTAACTCCAACTAAGTGGCACCAAGTTGAATACGAGGCTTGCTGAAGACATATTAGAGAGTCTATGTTGTTTAGAAGTGTCATAGGTAGGCATTTTCTGGCTGATACGGGACACCAATCACTATCGCTTAAGGTAGTCAAAAATAGTACTTCACATCTACTTTACATTAATAAGCTGTTCCCAGAGTGATTTCTGAACTATCTGTTCAAAAAGAGATCATTGCTAACTCTCACTGAGTGTTTCGTTGAAATTTTATGTCGCTTTTTATGACCTGACTTCATATCTGTATTTATCTATTATATTACCAGTTTTATTAGTAACTTAGTGAACCTTTGACCTAATTCATTTTTTTTTTCAATAACCCTTTGGTATATTATGCAACTGTCCCCACTTTTGTGTGGATTATTCTTCGTTTCCATAATATTCTTCCCTGAGATATGTTACTGCTAATTGCTACTATTTCCTGGGGTTCCAAGTGGGACACAGGGCTTCAACGACACATCTCCACTTTGTCTTTTTTGATGTTATCCTCTTCCGCTTGGCACACAGCTCCCTATAATCTGTCATCTCCTCTTCTCATGATCTCCCCCACGACACTTTTGGATGCCTCATACGGGTTTGAGTAGAGCATTGGCCTGGTCCGCGATGTCATTTCACCATCTCCTCAGTATGTGTCCGAACCATCTCCATTTCCTTTCACTTATTTGTTGAGCAGTAGGTCCTTGACTGGTTTGTTCCCATATTTTCTTGTCACAAATTCTTTGTGGTTATTTAATCTTCAATATGAAGGGAAGGCAACTGTTGATGAAAGTCTCCAGTAGCCTGCTGGAAATGTTTTCGCTGACCCATACAGAAGAAATGATTTAAAATTGGTGTTGAAAATCTGAATTTTGTTCTTTGCGCCAAAAGCAGAGGATTTTCAAACTCATTTCAGAGTGATAGTGCTTTCGCGATTCTGGTTTCGATATACTCATCCGTTCTATCTGTAGTTGAAACAATGGTGCCTAGAAAAGTGAAGAAAGTGGTCTGTTTCAAAATTCTCTCTTAGACATGTAATGTATCTCTTTTGGTCGTATTTTAAATTCCTGTATAATTTATACCTCATTTACATTTTCCGTATTTCATTCTAACCTTAAAAAATGAACCGCCTATTCCGTATAATCCAAATTATCACACTGATTGCTTACATAGTTTATTATCCTTGTTGTATCTAGCGGAAGAAATACTTACGAGATGATGTATTCTTATTGTATCCTTTAATTCCTAGAGGAACATAGGGCTTCAGCTGCGCACCTCCATTGCCTTCTGTTTTCTGCCAACTTTTTCACTCTGCTCCAATTCTGCCCACATGTTTTCATCTCCTCTTCACATCACCTCCTCCAAGTCACCCTCACCCTTCCACTGACGACCAACTCGCCACCCGCTTCCCTTTCGGCCTGGTTCCACTCAACCAACGGCTTGTCTAGTGATGTCACTCACTTGATGGTTTCCTCAGAGTATGGCCAGCCAATCTATCTCCATTTCTTCCTGACTATTTGTTTCACAATCGGTTCCTGCTGTGTTGGTTGGTTGGTTGGTTCGCTCATTGCCAGAGATCCCTCCCTATTTCTGATCTTTTCTGGCCAGCCGGCCATCTGATCTTGAGCGGAGTATTGAGCGAAGACAACTAGCTGTTGATGAGGGACTGAAGTTTGTTTGAGATGCTGTTTGAGATGACGCGCTGGCCAAGTCTCTGATCCGTATAGAAAGTAGCACAGACTTCACATTGGAATTGAAAACCCGGATCTTATTTTTGATGCTGAGTGCTGTTGACCTCCACACAGACTTAAGAGTAATGAAAGCTTGTCTTGCTTTTCTGATTCTGGCTTTGATATCCTCGTCAGTTCCATTCGCCTGTAGTTGAAACGATTCTTCCCAGGTAGGTAGGTGAAGGAGGTTGTTTCTCTCAGGCTCCTCCCATTTATGCTGATTGTTTTCTGTTGTTGTTGTTGCTGCTGTTGGTGTTGGCCAGGAATCTTCATCACTTACCTCTGTTTTATCTATGTTCACCTGAAGTCCTATCTCCTCTGGATGCATCTTCTGCCAGCTTGTTGCTGCTTTTCACTTGCATATCTTCCAGTTTGTGGGAAATCAGACATATATATCACATCGGCGAAGTCCAGACCCTCCAAGTCTCTTTTTTGTGTGAGTCCATTTCATGCCTGTTTCCTCATTGGCCGTCGCTGTCTTTCGCATTATCCAATCTACTGAAATCAGGAAGATCATTGGTGGTAGTAGAGAGCCAGCTTGTCTCACTCCCGTCCTCACTTCGAAGGATTCCGTGAGTTTCCAGTTGTGGATTACTTGTCATGCACCATTGTCGTATAACTGTTGGATGAAATGTATAATTGTCGATCACACCCCACGGTAGTAGCGAAGAAGTTTCAAATCACCTTTCGATCAACGCTGTCGTAGGCCTTTTCAAAGTCGATGAAGTTGAGATAGAGAGGTGACTGCCATTCCAAGCTTTGTTCAATGATGATCCGTAGAGTGGCGATTTGATCAATACATGACTTGTTTCTCCTGAATCCAGCTTGTTCCGGTAGAAGTTTTTCACCCACGTTGGCGCGTTTGATTCTCCCCAGGATGATACGGCCTAGTATTTTGCTTGGGATGGACAGGAGCATGATTCCGCGCCAGTTTTTGCATTGACTTAAGTCTGCTTTCTTTGGTAGTTTGAATAAGTATCCTTTCTTCCAATCCTTGGGTACTTTGCCCTCTTTCCACACCTTCTCCAGTAGTGGTGCTACCAAGTCCGCTGTTGTCTCTGGGTCCGTTTTCAGTGCGTCTGCTGGGATTCCATCTGGTCCTACTGCTTTTCCAGCTTTAAGCATCTTGATTGCATTCAATACTTCTGATTTCGTCGGGGGTCGTTGTTCACTGGTAGTTCTGCTTCCGTTGTTGGTATTGTTGGGCGCGTTGTAGGTGGCGGTCGATTTAGAAGTCTTTTGAAGTGTTCATCCCAGTATTTCCTTTGTTCTCCCTGTTTGGTGATTGAATTTCCATCTTCATCCTTTACTGGCCTAATCTGTGCCGAACTTTTGCCCGATAGGTTCCTAGTTGTTTGGTAGAGTATAGCGAGGTCTCCTTTGCCTGCAGCTTGTTCTGCTTCACTAGCCACGCCCTCGGTGTGCGTGTGGTTATCTTCTGGGTGACCGGAGTAGACCACTGACTCACCTGTTGACAATTTGGTGAGTCCATTCCCATTCCATCTGCTTTCACATATTCCCAGTACTTGGATTCCGTATCTTTTCATCTCGTTTGCGATCTGGGCAGATTTGCCAATCTCGTACATAGTGCGGACGTTCCATGTCCCCACAGAGACTTTTTCTTTTTGAGCAAAGAGATGCATCGTGCTGAAATTTCTGCAGCAACTTTGTTTACAGGGTGGCGTTGCTATCCTCACGCCTGAGAAAGGAATTGTTACATTTAAGATAAAGTTTACAGAGAAGTGACCTTGTGGGTTGCTCCCCTTAAAATCGGAAAACAAGGGATAAAACAATCAGAACAACACCAGCAGAAGGAAAATAATTCACAGCATAAAGGGCAAAAAGTGACAACAACAACATGCAATACAGCTAGGCACAGTTAACTAAAATGATACCGAAACCGAGATGATGAAGCAAGTTTATCTTATCCTGCTAAAGCCATTTGTACTGCATGATTCAAATTTAAAAAGAGAGATAATTTGCCTGAAACTCCTGAAAATTTAATTGTTATACATATGGTCTCCTGATGTACTGACTCTTTAATAAATCTGTTATTAATTTATATGTTACCGTAGGCAAACCTGAATAGCCTTCAACTAAGTTGAGACTTACTTCTCCGCTGAGATAGACACATTATGAAAAGGTTAAGAAAATATTCTATTAACATATCGATGTCTAAGCCTTGAGATATGCTTGCTTCTTCTGATGTTGACTAGACAACAATTATGAAAAAAAAACTGTTTCGGTCAGATTTCCATAGATTCAATTAAATGAAAATGAGAAATAATCATGACTAAGGTAATAAAGTCCACTTACTTCATCCATATCCGAATTCTGGCGTTTTAGATTGCCGGCCGCAGATATAACACTTTTCACTGCACGCATACCAAAGTCATAATGGTCTTGTGTACTAAGCTGTTCTGAGGATAATTTAAATGTCGTAACAATCTTCTTGGCCAACAAACGTGCATCAGAGAAGCCGAATGAAAATAATGAAATCTCTGCAATTAAAGCATAGTCTGGTACCATCATAGCAACTGGTCTAAACAACGCCTTTAGATTGTCCGGTAGTTCTGTACGTCCAGCATAACCAGGATTCATGGTAATAAACACAGCGCAAGATGGCTTGAGTTCTAATTCATCACCTTCAAATACAAAACGTGTTAAACGCTGTTGTTGGGCTTTTTGTATGGTGGTTATCTGCTGTGCAACCACGGATAAGACTTCAATATCAATACGATTGAATTCATCGAAACACGCCCATGCACCCGCTGATGCCAATCCTTTGAAAAATTTACCCATAGCCATGAAATCTAGTTGGTCGGAACAATTGAATACAACACACTGGACAGCGAATGCTTTGGCTAAATCTTTAGTTGTTTCTGTTTTTCCAGTACCTGCTGGTCCAGCCGGTGCACCACCAAATTTCAAATGAAGTGCACCAGTGAGTGTAAGGTAACATCGGTCAGTCAACGGTGTAATAACTAGACGCGTTGTGTTACCTAAATATTCATAGCCATAATCGAATTCAGCATTAACAGCACGGAGTTTCATTTCTTCACTTTCAGTATCCCAATAGTAACGCAATTGACTTATCCACTCAAAATCATTCACATTATGCACGCCTTCTTCAATAATTTTAGCAACAACATCACGAGCGTGTACTTCAATAACAATCAAGGCAGATAGTGTCATTCGGCCAATTTTAGTTAAATCACCACGTACAAGTTGACGTAATCCATCCAGTTGTTTTAATAAATGTGGATATAACTTATCCATTTTGTTTGTATATATAGCTTCAGTAACTTCAGTTGTCCAGAATGTTTGACATACAGCAATAACAATTTGTCCAGGCCATTGTAATACCCATTCGACGCGTGGAGTTTGTGTATACGCAATTATTGACCTACCAATAATTGTTCTCACTGAATGTCTCATCATATTTTCTATTTCTACCATCCATTCTTCAACATTTGCTGTTGGATAAGTGGTCTTCTCAAATTTAACACATTCACCTTCAGCGGAGAACATAGCTGTGATTTGTAAATCTTTTTCAAATTGTAACTTCAATGGAAAAGAGAAAGTAGAACCTTATGGCAGGAGTTTATGAAAAAAAACTAAACAAAATTCTGTAAATAATTTCTCAATTTATACAACAAGTGGGCACATTTCAGTGACTGATGACAGTTTTAAAAGTCGCTGAAATATTCATTTATTCACCGCATACTGGACTTCATTCATGTTTCATTGAGTGTTTGTGTGGTTTTCCTCCTTGAATATGAATATGCCAGGTTTCCTCCACACATTACACTTGTGTGTGTGTGTGTCAGTTAATCTGAAATCAGTGTGGAAATCTACTGCACTGGGCATAAAGAACAAAATTCAGATTTTTGAGCCCAATGTCAAGTCACAGTTTTCTTCTGTGTGGTTCAGATACTTGACACGTCACCAAATGCATCTCCGATAGGTGGTTGCAGATTTTTTATCGGAGGCGACTTTTGCTTGGTGCTGAAGATCCAGTGTTTGGCCAGAAAGGATTGGCAGTACGGAACTCTGGTAAGTAACTCACTAACTGATCAAGAACTTATTGACAAAAAAATATATATCGAAGAAAAAAAGAGATGGATTGGATACGTGCTGAAGATACGACGCCCTAGGCAGAGCCTCTAGTAGAGCCCGAGGAGGCAGAGGTCTGAGGATTACATGAAGGAGATTGTGCGACAAGGGGAAGAGGATCTATGGGCAATCGTCGAGCCAGATAAAGAGGATAACAGAAACCTGGATAAAACAGAGAAGTACTGTTGAAGTCCTATGTTCCAGTCGGAAACTATGGGAATAATAATCATAATAATAATAATAATCTTTACGCTAACCAACAGCATAAGTAGTGGAATAATGTTATTCCGGTAATATTAGTAGCTTTCTTAGTGGAACACTTAATCACGACATTTTATTAAACTATCATAAACATCATGGGACCCAGTATTGGTTTTTCTTTCCAGTTCACCATTTTCCTCTTACAGGCTATGAAATATTTATGCTGGAGAAAGTTTTTGCACTGTTAACTTGAAATACTGCCGTAAAACGTTAATTCAATAATCAGTGTTTCAGATATACAATCCACTTTCTCTGTCTTTCTGTCAAGTTAACCAGATAAAAATCAATCCACAGTTTAAGACTAGTGTGTTTGAAGCTGAAATTAGTCAGGAAATCACTGATAATCGAGTGAAGCTTAGTAGATATCGAATCTAAATTGGGATTATTACTTTTTTGACATTTTACGAGGAGTTTTCATTATAATTTTTAAAAGTGCAAATCAAATGGTCGCAATGACGTTTGATAATGATTCGCTAATACATAAACAGCTATAACAAGTGGTTGATTTTCCATGATTTCAGAGAACTGAATTCGATCAGTCATAGAACAAGTCATTTGTTTATAAATGTGTCATCATCACGCTGGAAACTTTAGTCTAGGCCAATTGCACTTCCCATGATCAGTAGATTTCTGTTACCTGAAATTATAGCCAGTCGGTTGATTATCGCTTTTGTCCACCACAGTAAGAAATTAGAGAAAGTGTTACAGCTTTGCTAGATAACAATTTACTCGCAACTGGCAGCATTGGGTTACTTTCTGTAAGGACACCACAATAGTAGGCATACGAGTAGTCGGAAAACTTCATCAAGGCTGAGAAACAAAACAGAATTGATTAGAACTCATGATTAACGCATTTCGTCGACCATGCACATGAACCGGAGTTCGATCCCCTGACGACACACACCTCGTATCAATGGTCGACCTGCAAAATTTGGGCTACCGATATCATATACTGAAAATTCCATACTTGTACCAAAAATACAGTGTGTATTCAAGCTATAATGAAGAATAAAATGGAAAACTTCTGGTTAGCTATTTGAGCGAACCGGTGACACCCTAAATCCTGATCTCATTCTACAAATTAATTAGCAGTTTGCGATGTACTCAGTTCGAGGTAAAATCTCACCACAGTTTCCTTCAGAAACCACTACTGGTTAGTGTTTGTGTGGCATAAAGCTATTCATTTGAGTCGGTCAGCAGTATATTACTTTAAGACTCTTCATTCGTCTTAGTTAAAGTTTGATCACCTTACTACAAAATATCTTAGGACACAGGTACACACTGTCTTAATAAATAAGCTGTTGCCTTTGAAGAACACCAGATTATACAGTAGATTTTATATGAAATTTAATTTAAGAACGAGTATCAAATTTCAGGTCACTGTAGTGAATTCGATAGTATCAGCTCACAGAATTGAGTCTACACCTCTAATGAGTAACATGGCTAGAGTTGAGATCTCTAGGCCCTAACCACTAGGGAGATTACCAACGCGTATGTTCATAGAATTCCACGGATTTGTTGTGACGGTTACTATATAATTACACCTTACTTTGTGCATATTCGTCGGCGATTCAATCTTAGAATATTCGCCGACCACTTATGTGGTCTGGAATTCAATTCCTTACCTACTCATTTTAGCCTGTAGTATATCAGGCAAAGTGATAAAGTTGAGCATATAGCTAACAACTGCACCCGGTAAGAGACACTCCCGCTAATGGAACCCAAAAATCTTCAGCCTGAAGCACTATATTCTATTCAGGACCCAAAGGAGTTTAAGTACTCACTCTTATTGTCACATCTTTAAGCGCTAGGTGGATTTTTATGCGTCAACTTCACTGATACTTTGTAAGCAACATTAAAATTAAAATTAGTCTCCTCCTTTCTATGGTTAAAGTCATGACCGATAAGCAGGCGTAGCGTATTTTGTATCGGCGTGCACACCTACACCAAGTAAAATAACTACTTTAGTGTAGTCCACACTAGCACAATTCACATAGAAACACATGAACAATGGATATTATAGTATTTCGGCATCGTGTATTCAAGAAGAATGACAGGAAATTTAAGCACCAAGTGTTGTGTTTTCTGGTAAACGTTTGTAATGATAAATCTGTACGAGTGGAAAATATTAAACTCATGGTGTTTGTTTAATTTGTACTCCTACTGGTCAGTCAGTCAGTCAGCCATTTGTAGATGCTTCAACGAAACCATCCAGACAGCAGCTTTAAGTCGGTAATAAGTATTCATCATAATTAGTAAAACTGAACAAAACCGTCAAATCTATCATACTTAGGACAAAAAGAAAAATACCTTTGTGTTATTTAGGCACCAAAGTAAAAAGGGAAAGAACGTAATTCATGAAATAAAACTAAGGAAGCTATATGAGCAAAACAGTTAAAGCGAACAATTGTGGTTTCAATGAATTCTTCCTTCTTCAGACTCTACAATTATAAATCCATTAATCTAAACATACAATAGCTAGCCAGTTAGTAAAGACAAATTAAAATCATATCAGAAAGTGTATTGTGGAACAAGTATAAGTAAGATGGGATAGAACATTAGTCAGTTAGTTCTTGAATATGCATGGTCAATGAGAACATGAGATAAAATGCGATAAAATAATTTAATGATATATATATATATATATTTTTCTTCAACAAAAGTACAGGGTTCGAGGGTAAGTGTAGTCAGTGGTGTGTGTATGCGTGTGAGACAATATGAATATTTCATAAAATAAATCAACGAATAGTGTAGACTAGACGTAAGTTCAAGGGTGAAAATAACTACAATAATGGCGATGATGTGGTGTAGACTTAAAAGTACTATCAGAGAACGATTATTAGTTAATGATAAATATAATGAAATGGAATGAACTGGATTTTGTAAATATGATAACAAGCTAGAAAAGCATTACTAAATCTCAAGGTAATAGAAATCATAAGAAAGGTCATAGGAAAGTCGTAAAACATGTCAGAAATGAACGTTTGTCGATGAAACAAAGGATAACAAGAAGAAAAATATAGTTTTAAAGGCACAACTGAGGCAATTGAACACCAAATGACTAAGGTGCTAAAATCACTAGTGTTGAGAGTATTCTGATTTCTAGGTCTACTCTTGATAAATTAATACCCTCGGGTACACATACACACCAAGACAATATGGTTCACCAAAAATTTCACAAGCCTGGAATACCATTACTTCTTACCCTAGATGTGTCAATCTACTCATCACTCTACAGCAAAGTGGTTGGTAAAGGCAATGGAACCATTACTTAACGAACTAATGAAGTTCAGTGTAAAAGACGTATTTAGCTTTGTAAAAACTGTCAAAAACTTGAATGTAAACGGAAAGCAGATGATTTTACTGGATGTAGCATCATCCTTCTCTCTCTCTCTCCATGTTCTCATTAACCATACGTATTCAAAACTAACTGACTAATATTCTATCCCGTCTTATACATGTCCCACAATACATTTCTGATATGATTCTTATGTGTCTTTACTGACTGGTTATTGTATGCTTAAATTAATGGATTTATAATTGTAGAGTCTGAAGAAGGAAGAATTCATTGAAACCACAATTGTTCACTCTAACTACTTAGTCTTGAATAAATTATGGGCATATTCAGGTTATTGGTTAAACAAATAAAATTTAATTTCTTAGTTTAGCATCCTACTAGACGAAATGAGAGATTCAATGGTTACTAAAACTCCACGTCTCATTTCTAGGTTTAGTGATGGTAGATTTGTACCTTATTTAATCGAGTGGGAAAAATGCCTAACTACAGGCTGAGAGGTTCGAGAACTTTCTCACATACGATTTCGTTTAATCATCAGACTGATTCCTTTGTATTCTAAACCAACCAAGAGTAGCAGTAAGGCTTATTTAACCAAAAAAAAAACTAATAAACTCACCCTTGCAATATTTTCAAAGCATTTTCTTAAATGTGGTTGAACAGCTTTAGGATCTTTGGTTTGTGACAATATCTCCAGAAGTTCATCATCAGATAAGAAATAAAATCTTGGAAATGCTTGACGTTTTGTTTCTAAATATTCACTTAAGCCTCTTTGAACTTGATCTAGCAAACGATTGCATTCACGTAAACTATTTAATAGTCGTGGATCTGGACACAGTGTAATCACTTGTGGTTGTTCAGCAGCCATTTTCATCACTTTCCTCCATATACGATCCATTGTTGCATAACGTTTACTTTCAACAGGCAGTTGTCGATTAATGTCTTCCGAGCTAAATATTGGCTCCAAGTATAACCATTGTCTTTGACATGTGATCCATTCATCTAACACATCTTGTGTTAAGTGTAGCTTTGTTTCCCAATGGGATATACGATCTTCAAATGGTTTTTTATATGGAGAGAAATTCATTGCTTGTGTCATAACAACATGATCATCTAATAGTTGGCTAACTTCATCACCGATTTTTATAATACACGTTCCTGTATCTTTATATGGCACAACTTCAAATTGAATCGATTCCCAATCATTGACCATTTTATTTAATGCACTTTCAATTGAATATTCTTTACCGGCAACTTCTGCAACTTTTGATATAATTTCAATGTTATCCTATTCATTAAAATATAAAATAAACGAAACAAATTTTATCCATATTACAAATGACAGTGTAGCCAAAAAAAAAATCAATCATGAGGTGGTTTTCAAACAGACTGTCATTTCAGTGTAACTGTATTCACTCCTAAATAATATGCTTACTTATTAAAGTATTCAGGAAATAAATCGAATATTACTTATCTTGTTGTCAGTTTCTGCTCTAATTTGTATTGGTCGCCACACACATTTCGGTGATGTCAAGAAAACTCGGGGATACTGAAAATCCTCTCCGTTATTATTATATAACTGACTAGGCAATATTATTATTATTATTATTATATAAGCTTTATTCCAAATCAGTACTTGTGATACAGAATGGAATTCTCAGCATTTTACTACAATATGACTAATTCGGCATATATCTCAAAGGATTCTCAAGACAACTGAATATCTTTTGCTTTTTAGAGGTATATATATATATAAGAAGTCTGCAAAGTAAGTTTTTAAAAGGTAGCATCAGTTAAAAAAAAAAGAAGAGAGAAACACGGAAGTTTTAGTGTTAATAAATAGGTTTTGTGAAATCCACCAGTTTTAAAAGTTTAACCATAGATGTAAAAGGCTTCCCAAATTTGGGGATTTTAAAGTGAATCTGAGAGTATACACAGTTTGAATACACTTTCTTTGAGTTGGTTCACTAATAAGTAAAAAAAAGCAGTACCCACTTGAGTAAAATAGGCTTATACTGATGGAAAAAGAAACATCTACTAAACCAAATGAATATGCAGCATGCCAGAATTGTGTCAAGTCTTGTTATGTACTCGTCGAGTAGTTAATAGTCCTGACGCAGAAACACGGAAATCAGTAGACCACCAGGTTTACGAAACTTGTAATACTTGTATTTTCCAGACAAGGAAAATAAATGTCACACAAGAGTGTGAGTGAAATGGTACGAACGTGAGAACAAGAATAATGATAAAAAGTACAATGCAAGTATATATGAAAATGGCTAATACACATGAACCAAGAATTAGCCAGTCTTACCATGATTGGTTGTAATGTCATGTGATAACAAGGTCATACATTGTTTATTTAGTTAGTGGACAGACAAAAGCATAATGTCAGTTATAGTGGAATATCGATCCATATACACATAGCAAAATATAATAGAGACTGTCAAAAACAAAACACACACATCATGTGGGTACATATCAAGTCGATAAATACCTGTAGAAGATTAACTTGGCTAACTTCAGCTTACTGTATACCGATTAGCAGTGGTCGTCTTGATGTACAGACGACTAATCTGCGCTGGAGAAAATCTTTCTCTTCTTCTTCTTCTTCTCATAATCACTAGAACACATTCACCAGTGTTTAATAAATAAAAAAATTTCATACACTTGGCATTTAAATATTCCAGTGTAAACAGTTTACTGGTAGTCGCTTCTACAATAAGCACAGACACTTCAGCAAACACACACACACACGCACGCACGCACACCTTATACTCAAATTCTCTTGTACAAAAAAATAACCGCCACCTGGTGCAGTTCTCATTGATATTACAAAGACATAGGCACGCAACTGTGCACCAGGCTTTCATCATTCACAGACTTTAGGGGGATAAGGTGTAGCAAATAGTTTACTGACAGCCTAAATGGCGCAAAAAGTATTATATTGTTTTGCTAAGGGGTAATTTTGAGACCATGGAGAGAGCTGTAAGACGGAAATAAAGTGAACCAACAAGAAGAAACTATAAGATCTTAACTTTGCAGATGAATCATGCCTCATTTTGCACAAACTTGAAGATCTGCGAGTGAAAATCAAAAAGTTGTCACAAGAAGCCGACAGCGGAGACATGACTGCAAATGAACATAGAGAAGACGGAAGTGATCAGAATGCCTGGTCGTCGAGAACAACACAATCAGCGGGAGAAATCTGAAGGAAGTCACCTCTTTCACTTAGTCACCTGGGTAGAATCATTTCAACTAACTACAAGCAGCATAGATGAGCACGTCGAAACCAGCCACGATCATAGAAACAAGATAGACCCTTCATTACTCTGAAATCAGAAGGAACAAGATCCGAATTTTTGACACTAATATCAAGCCAATAGTTTTATATTGTTAGAAGACTTGGTGTATCACGAAGGCCATTTCCAAAGAGCTGCATACTTTCATACACAGCTGCCTTCATTCCACACTGAAGATGAGATAGCCGGCTGGTCGGAAAGGATAAGCAACAAAGAACCTATTGTCCGAAAAATTTTCGGAAGGAAATGGAGCTGAAATAAGCATACGCCTAGGAGACTGTTGGGTTATGTCACTCGCCAGTGAGGCCGATCTAATGGAATCCGAATGCAAAATGACGAGTCAGAATGGATGATGTACAGACGTTATGTAAGTAATAGATAACTGTCTACTTGAATCCATCAGACTAGTCCATCTAGACCTTCTGTTGCGAGCTCTGATGATATGAACAAGAAACAGAAAAATGTCTTTCTTACCTGAAGACGCATTTCTAAACATTTCGCGAATGTCAGCGTTGATTTCGGCACAACACTGACTCCAAGTTCTTCACTTAACTGTTCCCAGTGCCTTTGGCGCATGCCTGGATTGCGTAGGCCTTGTATTAACGGTATAAATGGTTTGAATTCTTCAATTGCCATTTTCACCTGATTCGCCACCTCTTGTACACCAGGTAATTCATGAAATATTCTTACAGATTTGTGCATTGTTTTATAGCATTCAACAACCAGCTTTTCAACAGCCTCTGCATCGATGGACGTTAAAGGATCATTCATGACAGCTTCTTGTGTTTTCAACCAATCGGCTACACTCAACCATAAATTTTTAAACGGTTCAAAGTCTTTCAGTAGACGTGGTATTTTTTCATACTACAAAAAAGGAATGAGATAATGGTTAGACTAACTAATAAACCAATGATTACTGTTTTGGTGGTATTTTGTTAAGAGATTCAAATTCCCTAAGACTTTAGTGTAAGCACTCATCCTTATGCCATACTATGCAGATGAACACTAAACAAATCTGAACAGGACACGAATTATCTAATATAATCATATTCCTTATTACTTTCTTGGCAGTGAACGTAAGCAAAGACCACATCAGAGGTGATTCTTCTCTGAACTATTCAACAAATGGAAGGCTTCAAAACATACATATGAAAAGTCTACAGACTGTTTGTTCCATTGTGAGTAATATGACAGTAAAAACTGACACATCCGGATTTGACTACCTTTCAGAATCACACACACACACACAGTGTAATTACCATTCAGATGAGAGAAAAAAATGGAAAATTAAAATGAACTTAGAAATAATTATCCCTGTCAGTTTCGTTGTGTGAAGGAAGTTTTGATTTAATTTCAACTGTTAAAGGACATATTTGTTAATATCTCAATCTCAAATCACGCAAAACTGTTTCTAAGATGTCTCCCAGTATATGAGACCAACTTTTGTTCATTCCTTATGCTGAGAGGTACTTGAAGTAACTTTAATTAGTCAGACGAGTATAACAGTGAACAGGAGTTCATCCACTGAAGGTGATAAAGTTCACTACAAACCGGTAGATATAAAAAGTGGATAAATTTGATGAGATGAATGGAAGCCTGGCGAACCAAGTGAACTTTAACAAGATATTCAAAAGTTTACGCCTAATAAGATATCTGAAAAGTAGAAAAATAATTCGAACTGACTGACTGACTGACTGCGTATTTTACTTCTTTTGATGTATTTCTACTTCAACTGACTTTAGAAACTTGATGCTGTGATGGATGAACACAAGTCATTTTCTATACGAATTGACAGTATTTTCAAGTATTGGTTTTATAGGGATTTGTGTTTGATTGTATGCAGGATTTCATCATGAGGAGCTGACGTCAGTTAGAGAATCACTGGTAAAACCTTCAGGGAGTACTAGACAGCTGTTTCATCCTAGTTTGGGACTCTTCAGTAATACGCACCCGCAAATGACAACCTTTTGAATAAGTCATAGTGTGGTTTTAATTGTGAATAACGCGAGTGTATGCCACGTTACTGCTACACTGTAATTAGGATTAGTTTTCTTTTTCCCCTGAATAACATAAATTCATGACTTTCAGAGTTCTTTCCTATAAGGAGCACATCGTGCCTATCAGAAAAATACCTGTAACTATTTCTAAAAATCTACAAATCTACTTACTACAAAGTAGCTTTAAAAAACAGACAAACAAAGAAACAACTTACATTTGTATTAGCCATTCCAAACAGACGTTCACGGCTATTGAATACACCTGCCATATTTTGTGCGTCAATCAATTGTTTATAAATCCGGCGAACTTCATTGGCAACTTCTTGAGCTTTACTAATCTCTGCATATGATGCCATCGATGAGACCATCATCTGTATGTGAAGAAAAGCAAAACGAAAGAAAAAAAAACAGCCGAAAGCACACATGAAGGTAGGCTCAGGACTTGAATGACACCGCAGATTTCAATTACCAATGGACCAACTTACATATTTGTTTAAAAGATGTTTGTTTGCTTTATGCTCTTCTTGCTATTTCTGCTTTTTTCATTTACAACTTTTATATATCACAATATGAATGGTATATACACCGATTGCCTGTATAATATTTCCGGTGAACAGTCCAGTGATTCTCTGCATGGTAAACATCATCATTCTGCTGTGTACTGAGAGATGATTATCTCATATTATCAAAGAAGAACAGAATGTCTCTACAAATAATTTATACGGCTATGGTAAAACAGTAGTCTGATAACCTGTTGTGATAGCGTAATACAGTAGAAGAGCAAAATTAAGAAGTACACTCTATCTTAAACACGCACCAGCGATTTGCAGCGATCTTCTGGGTTGTGTTACTTCTGGCTTTCCTTCATACATTGTGTTTCTTTGTCTTTCTTTCACTCCTCCCATGTATCTCTGTATCATTTACTTTCTCTGACATCGAATCTGTCTCCCTCCCATTTGATGTTTTTTATACCTATGAAAGTCTGTTTATTTATATACTACTGATAGATGTTATCAGTAGCACAAGTCATAATAGGAGTGACAGGCAGGTTAATATTCAGACTGTTGGTAGTGTAACATACATTTCAAAAGATTTACTGTCAACTGCTAATTACCATAATACAATATTAATATAAACACAAGCTATGATAATCGTATTTTCCTTAATGATTGTTTCTACACAGAGTGATATGTTTTTTTGTTCTAAATTTTGGTAACATTTCGAACAAAATTACTGCCCTTTTATCACACCAACAATTGGAGTTGTTTTGTTCCACAATAACACAAACTAGTTGATTCATTCTTAAAATCAGACTAAAACTAGACTGATCACCAGAAGTAGAAAGTTTTTGAAGTTTTCTAAATTTGAGAGAAAATGCCTCATAATTTACTTTAGCAACTGATGAGTTCGCACATGTGACTGTGTACATTATTGCAGGAGTACAAGTTGTTAAATTCTGACAACACAATTATGGTGATATCACAACGGACAAAGACGGCTTCGCTGGAAAAAGAATATATATATATCCTACTGCCTAACCAAACTATGTGATATTACTCACCGTCAGTGTATCAATTTTATCGCCGAAGGCGGCAGATTCAGAAACCTGTAACTTCTTAAACCGCTCCTCATCTTCCTCAAGATTTTTCTCAACTTGAATTACCATTTGGCGGATTTTGTGCGGCCAACCGATAGTAGTCCATCTAAAAATAATAATAACAATAATTGTAAGAAGTAGACAACAAACTTCATACAACACTTCATCATTACAACCTACATATGAGAGTTTTGTGAGGACACAAACAACTAAATAGGTGATTTGAAATTAATTTCTACAGACTTAAAAATAGGTGTGACGTAAGTCATGACTTCTATGGAGTGGATATAATGCATTAATATTAAAATTTAATACGCATTACACGAAATAGGCAAAATCTAGACTCATTCTTTACGTTGCTAATGGAACGCGGAGCTTTAAGCTTAAGTTCTAAAGTTTCAGTCGTGGCGATGACTTTTCTTATGTGACGGTGTTAGTAGCCTCATGCCCAACCATTTCTCTTTATCAGGCTTTGTACTGGCTAAGGGCGGCTTAGGACTGCGTCAGATGGCGATAAAACTCAGTTCACGTGCGTTGGTCGATGAGCATTCTACCGATGAACCATAGACACAAACTCAACTGACGAATAATTTGTTTTACTTATATTAGAGTTTATAAATCGTTACTAGAAATATAACTGCTTTATTTACGGTATTTTCTAGCTTTCTTATCTAATTCAGTCGGTGCTTTAACTTTGTTTGGCTTTATTCAACACACTTGTCCTTCACTAGACATCCAAAAGTGTTTGATATTATCCCATGTTAGTCCTAAAACGTCTGATAACTATCTGAAATCATTCGGAGAATCAGTGAAAACCAGGGAGTACTGAATACCTGTTTCGTTTTAGTTTGAAACACTGCACATGCTGATTGTGCTATATACAGCGAATTAACCGAAGTTAGAATTTGTACGCTGTTGAATTTCATACTAGTTACCGAATGATCGACAGGCCGGCCTCGTAGCGTTAGGATACTTGATCCTATCCCGAAAGGTTTTACAAGTACGTACTGCTAGAGTCTCGAAGCAGAGTAAAACAGATGTTCAGTATTCCCTGACTTTCAGCGTTTCTCTAATTACTGCCGATTCATGACCTAACTTCAAAGCTTTTTAGAATTTACTGTCCATATACTTCACATGATGAAGGCTGATGTGCTAAGAAATAATAATTCATACTGTCTTACTCTGAAGTTTTGGCTGGCCTCCACCAAGTATACTATGTAGTGGAAGTGGATGCATGAAAGTGAAGTCTGTTTTTCTTTTTAAGAAAATGTCACCACTAGTCAGTCAGAATGCACCAGGTAGGTTAGATAACACACACACACAGATATACCACACCAGGACGTCGAGTAAAGAATAGAGGAAACTGTACAAATTAATATAAAAGGAATATATGAGTGGAAAGTGATGTTTGTATTAAAGATATCTTAGGCATGAATAGTTTCTAATTGGTGGATGGTGACTAGCAGTGGTATCCAGGATGAAGCGCATTTCGTCCTATTTGGGACTCGTCAGCCAGTTGGATGTACCTGCATTTCTCAGTGAGTGATGATGTTCCCACCGAGGCTCGAACCCAGTACCCATAGTTTCAAACACCAAAGCGTTATCCACTAGACCACTTGGGCCACGAGAGCCACCTCTTATGCAACGGGTCATATTAATTATTGAACTGAATTTTTGATTTTCCCGTCGATTGATTGGACCGAAGTGCTCGGTCTCAGGTTGACATGTCGGCTTCTTGTGCAGATGCTTCGACGATGTCTGGGTATTTAATTAGTATTTAATTGGTGGATGGGTACTGGTGGTCGTACTGGTTTCGAGCCTCGGTGGGAACATCATCACTCACTGAGAAATGAAGGTACATCCAGCTGATGAGTCCCAAATAGGACGAAATGCGCATCCTGGATTCCACTGCCAGTCACCATCCACCAATTAAAGCATCTGCACAAGAAGCCAATAGACATGCCAACCTGAGACCGAGCACTTCGGTCCAATCAATCGACGGGAAAATCTCAAATTCAATAAAATGAATAGTTTACATAGATATAAAAACAGAACCTGGGAGGCTGTGGAAGAGTATAATTACATCACAGAATAACTTTAATTGATAAAAGCACATAGTGATACAGTATTATTTACTGATGACGTTTCAAGTACACGATCTACTGCTCATACTCTTATAAATTCCAAACTTTGTTTATTTAATTCTCTTACTGCTGAAGTTATTGAAATTTGTCAGACCAAGTGTGTCAAATGCCTTCTTTGTACCACCGGCTTACATTTAGTATTCTCCACATGAATTATGACTTGACAGTGCGTGAAGGACAAACCAACATGTATGTTAATCAAGCGATGAGGAATTATGGAATTATGTAAACAAAGTTTGGAGACTATAAGACTGTCTTGATATGATTATGAGCAATAGATAGTACTTGAAAAATCAGCAGTAAATAATACTGTATCACACTATGTCCTATTATCAATTAAATTTATTCTATGATGAAATTATACTCTTCCACAGCTCCCCCACCCCCCCCGCCAAGTTCTATTTTTATATCAGTGGGAACTATTCAAATCTAAAATATCACTGTAAAATTATTAAAACAGTTAATAATAAGGATAATAAAACTTGGGCAATGTGGTAGAGTATAACCCCAATATGGATAGAATTTGTTTTGATAAAGTCTCACAGTTTTATACAGTAATATTTATTGATGACCACGTTTCGAGCACAGTTTAATGCTCATATCATCATATCATGTCATACTTTGATATGTGACTTTATCCAAACTAAATTTTATCCATAATGGAATAGAAACACAGTTATTTTGGTCCAGTTCGTTCACATTATTTTCAACTGCATACCAGCTACCAGGTTATTATGAGGTATTGATTTTCTTAGCGTATTTGGCTGAGTTTCTGTCAGTGGTCAAAAGAACTTTTGTTTGGGACAGTTTTTTTTTTTCAATTCTTGTTATTATATACTTGTGTTGTTGTTTACACTGTTGTCTGAGACTCCTTGGTACAGTCTGCGCTGAGGTCATCGGTGAGCACTACACTGAACATCCTCAAGCCAGAATGAAACAGGCTGTCACAGCTGTCTCGTTTTCAATGGTTATCTAGATGATGTTCGTTAAGATGATGAAATCTATTCTGAAGTCGATCCAATTCCCACTAAACGAAAACGGTGTGGTAATTAGATCCCCTTGAATGATATTCAGTATGGTTTGAGATATAATTTTCTTTTTCATCACCGTCATCTTCTACTCCAACTTTGATATTCAGTCCCACCACTTGTTTTATTTTCTCAATCATTATAGTGTAAGCTTACTTCACTTTCAGTACTTCAGATAGGATGTACTGATAAAAGTATGTTGACAATTTTTAAGTACCACATTTAATCCAACTCACAAAACAGTTCATTTTAATTGTTACCATTTTGTTATTTATTTCTAAATATTTCAAAAATGGGACCATTGGAACCCATCAATTTATGTTTTGTGTGTCCTTAAAAAACTTAAGTGAATACAACAAGAACTGAACCAGCATTCATTCCAATGACCACTGACAACTGAAGTTACAACATGTCAGAATTAGGTTTATGATGATGATTTGCCCAACACACTGTACGCATCCCTGCGCACATTCTCTCTCTCTCTGTTGGTGTTGCATTGAATCCTTCACTCAAAACTCAACAAAACTTACTTTGCGTTGAAATCGTCAGCAGATAAGTTATAAAAGAATAAGTCGATCAATTCGTAGTCAGACATTGCTTTATCTATGAATTCTTGGCGTTCTTCCAATTTTTCCGGTACTGTAGTTATCCATTCACGTAATTCAGTTAATTCTTCAATGGAATTTGGTTTTTCGTATAATTTCGCAGCAATATTTCTTAATTCTTCTGAAGCCTTGAAAACATTGCAAAAACGGGGAAAACAAGTTCATCAGTTCTTCGAGATAGGACAGGTCGACTAATCATAAACGTGAAGAGTAGTCATCTGAATTCACCGTGTGAATTTATCGTTCTCTTATAGAGCAAATGAATCATAGCTCGATACTTACAGGTTAAAAGATAAAAAAAGAATTGCTATGTAATGTTACTTTTAAAATGGGAATTTATTTTGGTACGTGGATGTTTTCCTCCGATATAAATGAAACTTCGTGATAACCGCAAATTAACAGCACCATTTTTTGCCTCCCTATGCCGGTAAATAGTGTAAAAATTGTATTATTATTATTATTATTATAGCGATTCATGGGAACACTCAAATTCTTGAAGACTGTATCCAAGCATGTCACAAAATCGTCCAGCATAACAGTTGAAACAATCCAATTAAATTGGACCCATTTGTGATGACTAGACTATTAGTTCAATTCTTAGCTAACCTCCACAGATTTATCGCCACTCTTTACTTTATGTTAAATCTTATACTGTTCATTACTATAAAGTAGTATATATTTACACTTGAAGTCAATTAGTGTATGGTGACCTGCAATGAAATCCAGGATGCACATTTCGTACTATTTAGGACTCGTTTGCTGGATGTGCCTACATTCTCCAGCGAAAGATGGTATTTCCACTGAGGCTCGAACCAAGTGTCCATAGTTTCGAACGCCAAAACGTTATCCACTAGATATATCAACCAGAGACCGAGCACTTCAGTTCAATCAATCGACAGGAAAATCTGCAACTGAATTAAATAATTATTAAGACACGTTGCATAAGAGGTGGTTCTCGTTTCCCTAGCACTCTCCTTAAGTTCTTGCGTTAATTTATTCCTGAAAATGGATCGTTTCTACACAAATATGCTATTTCCACTTTTGATGGCATTTAACCCAGACGTCTGACAATTTAAGGTTTGTAAATTGTTGTTAATTGAGAGTCGACAGACAATCAGAATTACATTTTACATATGTTTAAAGATAACGCAACTGTCCAACCAGACTATCATAGATATTCACTATGATTAAAAAGGTAAATTCCATGAAGATATTACATCATTCCAGATTGAATGAATGAATGAAATATTTGACACAACTGAGCAGATGACATCATAGATTCAGTGCCTTAAAACGATTTCTTCTAAGTGTAAATGAATGTCACGATAAGACGATAAACCTGGTAATAGCAAGAACGTAAAGTTCAGACCCATTGCCATCACTTCCCCGTTTCGACAGCTTATGGAAAAACTAGTACTTCTTAAAACTGAACTCTCCCCTGAAAGTTTCGAAGACCCCGAACAATTTGCCTACAGACAGAGTAGGAGTACTTTAGACGCTGCAGCCGTCTTACACAACAGTATCGTCTCATCATTAGATAAAGATGTCGAATACGTTCGCTGCACGTTTCGCGACTTCACTTCTGCTTTCGACTCTGTACCTAGGAGTCTCTTGCTAAATAAGCTCTCCATGACACAAACCGAGTCCTGGGTCACTAACTGGTTGCATTCCTACTTTTCAAACAGAATGCAGTACACTGTATACAAGGGCGAATCCTCCTCTGCTGTGCTCACAGAAGCTGGTGTCCCCAAGGTGTTGTACTCTCCCCACTTCTCTTTTCATTTTTCCTACATGACCTACCGTCTTCAAATGACATTAACTTTGTCGAATATGCTGATGACCTAACTGTATCTTTACCTGTCAAATGTCAAAGTGACTGCTCTAAACTAAACGGCTTTTCATCAGAAATCAGCCAGTGGTCCAAGGAAAATGGTCCAACCTTAAATCCCTCTAAATGGCAAACAGTTAATTTCACCTTTAGGCATAAATCTGACCTAAACAAACTGGTTAGAACTCACCTCACGAGGTGTGCAACATAGATGATGGCACTGAAATAGACAGAGACCAAGTCGGAAATGAAATACCTAGGCGTCATTCTATCTTCTGATCTTTCCTTCCTGGTCGTCTCATATCTTGATGATTTATAAGAAAATATTCCGTCTCACCACCTTCTACATCAAGAAGTTAGGACATTATGGTATAACCCAACCCTTACTCCTACAATTTGTTAACTCCCGTATTCTGCCTATTATTCTCTATTGTTTCCTCTTAGTTTTTCCAGGGCTCGCTACTGAAGAAGACTATACCTTATTACGCAGGATGTTAAAGGTTATCACCAGGGTAAGCTGCGTGCCACTTAACAGCTTGTTAATATTCTGGTTGACAGACACATGGACTCATGTGAAAAATGGGCGAAATCCATTCTATCTGTCTAACTCACACCACCCTCTTCATTCACAACTCTCCCCTTGTATCTCATCAGACAGGCAGACCAGAAGCCTATATAGAAAACTATATGCTCGCACTAGTAAGTACAAAAACCCAATTCAACCATACCCTACTTAGCTCGTATTCTGTGCGATAAAGAACAAAGCATTAGGCGTGATATACCTATAACTTATTAAATAGTCAGTAGAACAACTGGATCTCATCTTTTCAACTCATATCATTTACAGGTACAACGTTTTCCTTTCTTTATTTTCCTTTTCTCTCTTTTTTTCTTTGTTATGTGCTGTTTTGCTTCTTTCTTCCGCTTACGCCAGTAAATATGCTAGTAGTATCTACTTTTCTAACACCTTCAAACACTGTTTAATTTTTGGCTTTGCTACCGACATGCCAATATGTTGTTGTCATAATGAACTGAGATTTCCGTAATCTATGCAGAATTTTATTTATTGATAATGTACTAACTGTAGTAAAATGCTGAGAATTCCATTCTGTATTCGCAAATACTCTTTTGGAATAAAGCAAATTATTATTATTATTACTAATGAATTCATTTTGTCACAAGCTGCAGTCATGTTAGTCAGATTATACAAACTAATTTTTCCTGAAAACACTTCGGATAATATCACAACTTCACCCATTTATTAAAAATTAGCTAGAGCTTACCACGTCAGCTTGTTTCCTCAACTGTCTAGCTAATAAATCCAATAAGGCGTTGATTAATGCCTTACACTTTTTCGACAGATTCTGTCTTACAGGTTCAGTATTCACATAGAATGGACCAATAATAACAAAACTTGGTATAATTTGTTCAACATTTTCTTTCTCTTGAAGCTGCTTTTCCACTTGTAGTTTAATTTCTAAAGCACTTTGATTTTGTAATTCATATACTCTGTAATTTATTAAGAAACATATTGAAAGAGTATTCAGTCAGCGGGAAAAAGCAATAAGTTCTCATGAAGTTGTGAAGTTTTTCTTTTGGGGTAAAGGGTGTCACAAAATTATAAAATAATTAAAGAAACGCCAAACGTGTTTAATAAAATCAGTTCAGTTTGAGTTTGTACCCATTCAGTAATTCAGTATTGCATAAAACAACTTCTTTAGTAGTAGTCCGGTGGAAGGTGAATAGATCAACTTGCGGTTGTATTTTTTTCTACACAGTTTGGAGCTTAAATCTAGGCGCTTGTGTAATTGATGGTCCAGTGGACAGAAGTTAGTGCTTCAGCTACTTTGAAACAACACACAAATGTAACTGATCATAAGTGCAATCGGTGTAGCTTCAAAACCTCATCGCGATTGAATTTCACTTCTCAATTAAACGTCTACGCTTAAGTTATTTATTATTTATCATGCTAATTTGCCCCCATAGTGGTTAATTCAATGGTGACATCTGTGCTCTAAATACTATAATATTTTCATCTTTAGCAGAAATGTCTCACAAAACCCGTGAATTAACACCCAGTAGCCTGTTGCACTGTCCACGTATCCTGTGATCGGTGATGATGATGATGATATATCACATCTGAACCAAAAGTGAACATTCCGTATGCGTGTTGAGACCTTATCAGCAGTAAGCCTGTCAAAGCTTTTTGCAGCTTTCCCACTAAGTGAACTGACATAAAACCATTTTATTGACTGTTTTACCCTACAGTCGGAGTAGAACAGTCCTGAAGCATCATCATGCATATCATAGTTACAAAATAGCACTGTTTACCATGCGTACTCAGATTCTTGCTCAAAGTGTTCTCAAAACCCTTCATTTCGCCAGTATTTTCATGTTAAAGGTGTTCATATCTTCTGAATGCTTCAAACAACCAAGAGGAACCAAACACTAAGTCATTGGGACAATTAACGTATAAAATTCCTGGCGACTACATACTCTTGTTACTTTAAAGAACACAGCATCAAGATAACAGTGTTAACTCGAGAAAAAAAAAACAATAAAACGCAAAGATAAAGTGTGAAATAAGCCAACTTATTTTTCTACCTCACCTTAAAAATTCGCTAAAAAATAAAGAATACACAGGATTAATTTATTTTTTTTTTGATCAAACTATGCAGATTTAAAAAAGCTTCATTAAAGATTAGCGATAACTGCTGTCCTACAGAAAGAACACAAGCAAGGGAGTTTAAAGTGATTGTATTCCTTCCTACCTAATAGTAATCAACACGGTGTACACTTAATAAATTAGAACTTTTGATCTGTCAGATAGTGAATTGGAATCATTCCGTCAGAAATGCCAAACGCGAGGTTACAAATAATAAAAAACGACAATAAATCATACCAGTTGCACAAAAGATGGATCCTAAGACTCAGTAGTAGTTTAGTGGATAACGATTCAATGTGTTTCCAGCTACCTGTGCTTGGCTTGGCTTACGTCTCAGTGGCGCGTAAGTACATCCAACTGCTAGGGTTAGACGCTTCTCCGAAGATATATATAAATATATATCCAACCAGGGAAGAGTAACTTTTCTTCACAAAATCCAAAGGTGTATTCATCCATACACCATAACTTTATGCTGAGAATAAGTGAGCTTAAAACTGACAGCTAAATTAACAGCCACATTTCTTTTGAATCACAAGTATTTATACCATTCAATTTGACTAGAGTGAGGGAGTTGAGTTCTCTCTTTGACAATGCAATTCTTCAACTGAATGTTCTTGATCGAAAGGTTTTCTTACACTACACATAATGTATAATCATGTTTGAGCATGTCAATTTAACAGATGGTTGATTGGATTGAGTCAGTGGTTGGATTTCACACTGAGTTGCATGGAGTATAATTGTGGTGAGAGCAATTTGCTAGCCTATTGCTAGACATTAATCTACGTCAATGTCTAGGTCACTAATATGGGCCGTGAGAAAATATGAGCAAGGCTGATTCAACAACCAATCACAGCAAACTTAAACGTGGACAAATATGATTCGCAGGTAGATGGATGGCTCCACTTTTCGATGGTTACCCGAAACAACCAATCAGAAGCCTGTGTTTGTCTACTTAACTTCTGAGAAACAACCAATCAGAAGCCTGCTTTTGTCTGTGTTGATTTCCGTAATAAGAGGATCTGTTGCCGGCCCTTGTCTTCTGTTGTTACATAAGAGCATAAACAAAGCATTTTTTATTGAAAAGAAAAAAAAATTAATAAGCTCTATTATAACAGCGATAAGAAAACTAACTTTAAATATGCATTGATATCAAGCAGTGTAAGCTCCATAAAGCGTTCATATTGTCTAGCATACGCCTTTATAGGAATTAAAGCTGCATTAATATATTCTTTGAGTTGCTCACGAAGTTTCTCAACTGGTGGTTCACGTATACCAACAGCTTCTAAGAGTTGTTTTTCAGCACAAGTTATACCTTCAATAACGTACTGTAAAAATTAAAGCTATTTATTTTTAGGTATTTGATCAGACAAAGATTAGAAAATTTCGTCAGTTCACTTGTTTTCAAGACAATCTTTATTCATTGAATAGAAGTTAGGATATGACATAAATCAACACTAGGCTTACAGTTACTATATCTCAGACAGGATCCAGAATATGAGGAGACAAAAACAGGTAGTGGTTAGTAAACAGTTAGGACTTTTTGACAATGATGGTCTGTTGGATTTTGAAATATGTCACAGAAGGCCAACAATATTCTCATGCCTAATGCATATAGGAATTCCAAAACATAGTTGATACACACCTTAAATTAATTATTATACGTTAAAGTAAACTTCTTCAGGAATGGACATCATTTAGAGGAATCCTGAAGGCCAGGAAGAGCTGGGTAATTTGCTTTTGCTTATAGTTTGGGAATCTTCTGTCTTCTGATTGGATTGGATTTTAAACCAGTGATTAATTGGTAACAATCTCGCCTTGTAGCTTGAAAGTCATAATAAAAAGTCCCAGACTAGGACAAATGAGGACCTAGCATTCTTTGGTTTTTATTAGGTCAATTTGCGACGGAATCTACAGTGATGTCATTTAGATCTCCATAAATCTAACAACTGACAATTAACTTGAATATTCCCATAATTTATTAAGACAAAATTAGTAAGAGCAAACACGCTGTACAATTATAAATCCATTAATTTAAGCATACAACAGCCAGTCAGTAAAGCCAAAGTTAAGTTACATAGGGGAAATTTCAGCAAACATTCTAAAATGTCGACTTAATAGAGCAGTGGAGGGAATATTTCCTGCTACTTAGCTTCTCAACTAAACCAGTACTCATACAATGAATCAAGGATAAATTACCAAAGATGGCCTCATCAATGTGCATCGCTGAATTCAACTGTTCATGTGCAGCTAGTTAAATTGGCCATACTCAGAGGACCTTATCCATGCGCGCGAGTGAACATGTAACTGTATGGTTGAGTAACCATAGGCGTTCCTTATAATCTACCTAGAGGAACTCGACCGCATCTTTTGTCAGTAGCTGAAGTGGTAGAAATCATTACCAGATGATCGGTTTTTTTGTATACAGAAGAAGTATGTTCACAACCTCTATGTTTACCTTAGCCTACAATAATGCCAACAAATCCTCCATGAACATCAGCACTTTTAATTCCAATCATAATTTTTCTTCTTGTTATCCTTTGTTTCATCGACAAACGTTCATTTCTGACATGTTTTACGACTTTCCTATGACCTTTCTTATGATTTCTATTACCTTGGGATTTAGTAATGCTTTTCTAACTTGTTATCATATTTACAAAATCCTGTTCATTCCATTTCATTATATTCATTATTATTATTACTATTTGACAATCATTCACCAATCGTACTTTTAAGTTTACACCACATCATGGTTATTATTTTACAGTGATTATTTGTAGTCATTATTTTCACTCATGAACTTATGTCTAGTCCACCGCATTCGCTGATTTATTTTCTGTAGTATTCATATTGTCTCACACACGCCACTGACTACATTCATCCTCGAAGTCTGTACTTTTGTTGACTATATGTATATTTTTAAAACGATTAGTTCCCTTTTTTTTCATTTAGACAAAACAATAAGAAGACGTGATTTGCCTGAATCGTGCGTGCAATGTATTTGAGCAACACGTTTCGAACAATTTGACCACACGCGGACTTATCACAAGAATATATATGAAATTAATAAAGAGGTAAGAGGTGAGAAAACAAATTTAGGTCAGTTGAAAGGACAGATTGAAGGTCAATATATATATATATATATATCACTAAATTATTTCATCGCATTAAATCTCATGTTCTCATTAACCATGCACATTAGAAATCTAACTGATTAGTGTTCCATCGCATCTTATACTTGTTCCACAGTACACCTTTTGATATGATTCTAATTTGCCTTTACTGGCTGGCTAGCTATTGTATGCTTAAATTAATGGATTTATAATTGTAGAGTCTGAAGAAGGAAGAATTCATTGAAACCACAATTGTTCGCTCTATTTATTTGTGTTCTGAACCGATCGTTTTAAAACTATTAGACTGATAATTTAAAGGAAACTAATTCAATTTTTTAGATATGTACACTTGATTTTTCTTTTGAGTCATCATTCCCATATATATACCCAAAGTCATTTTGAAATGGGGTACACGTAGTTTTGTGACTAAATATACATTTGAAGTTACATCTACAATACTTTCTAGAAGGTTGAACGGTGAACTTGAAGTGCTTGAGATACGGCTAAGCATGGATTTCAGACAGTAATATAACTCTACTTGCCTAACATCTGTGCATATATATATATATATAACCAGCAAGTAGTTATGCTGACAATTTTTTACCTTATCTGTCAAACTAAAAGTTGTAGTCAATACAACTTTACGTCAAATTTTCACCTGTTGACCATGATACCAACTGAATTTGCACATACAATCTAAGTATTCATTAAAATAATCTTAAAGCAGATGAGAGGACATTGTCAAACTGATAGATATATCAGGACACTACTTACTTGTTCAATTTGCGGTACATCTTGTACAGAATTTATAGCTTTATTAAATAAATTGATCAGGCTTTGAGGAAAAAGTACAAGTGGTGTACTGTAGTGAGGTCCTTCTGCATCCAACACCAAATCGACTAGAAATATTGGATTCTTTTTTGGTCTAGTGTGTAAAAATATAAATTATAGCGGAATAATTTTTTGTGAAGAAAAAGGGTAGGTAGGAGACTGCATTGCTTAATGACTAAGGTATTTAACAGTCTGATTGTAATGTTCACCAGACTATCGTCAACAGTTACACAAATCTTTGGTCATTCATCTGATGAAGTGGTTTGAAATTACTCAATTACCTTAGAATTTGACTGACTGTTAAGCTCAACAGTAATCAACTGACATAATGGTCTAGATTGTTTGGATAATTTTTTACATTTAGATTTTGTCCAATTATCTACTACTATTGAGTAAAACAATTGTTTCAGCCCGTAATCTATTGAGCCAATCACATAACGCTATTTAAAGTAGAGTTGATAGTGTTGATAGGACTTTGCTACTGCTAGCAATTTTATCTCGTCAATTCTTCTCATACAAATCTGCTTAACATTGAAGCTATGCAAGAAAACCATTATGCGAAAACTATTTTATGACAAGCAAATATGATAGTTGTCTCTGTAGATACGACTTTCTGCCGACTCACTCCTAAAACTCGCCCAGCTTCCTAGCCCATAGTAAGCTTACCAAAGACGGAATGTTTGGTAGGGGAAAACACCCTCATCCTGTGAAAAAGAAACAACCCAATCACTACTGAAACTTAATAAGCTTGAAGCCCAGTATTTCACTTGGAACATAAACGAATTACAAGAAAACCTCTTTGCCTAACGCTACGCCTGCAAGCATTCCTAAATTAATCTAACCGATGGCATAAATCGTCTTGTAGACTACAGTTTCCCGGGTAAGATTCTACAGGACAACATAAATCGATATTCAGAAATTTTAGACAGTATGAATCAAAACCAGTCCCATTTAATATGTTATGTATGGATTTATGCATATTCATATCAGGTAGAATTATCTTTTGGTATCGGTGATTCAGAGGTGAAATGCCCACCAACCACGTTGGAGGTCCAGATTCCATTCAGTGCCGATGAACCTCTAAGTTTCGTCTAGTCTGTAGTAAGCCTGGAAAAGAGGTTAGGTTGGGCTTGAGACAAGCAACCTTATCCCGTAAAAGCAACACCATTACTGGAAGGCTATGATTCACTTCGAAATTAAAGGAACGAGAAAAATAACGTTCTTCACTTCTGTCAGTATAATGGCACCAATTCTAACATAATTATTCTCTAGGGACAGCATAATAATGATCTGGTGAGTAAGCGAATTGTACACATCACTACTGACATTCTAACATGACGTAAATGCCAAGATCCAGAGCAGTTGCCGATTAGTTTGGATTGACTGAACAGAAATGCTCAGTTTCTGAAGACATGTGACAGCTCCTGGTGTGCTCACTTCGAGGATGTGTAAGGATTGACTGGTTGGTAATGACTAGCAGTGGAATCCACCATTTGAAGTTTCTATTTCCTATTCGCCTATGTTAATCACCCTATATAAAAACAAAACTCAATGGAATGTAAACACAACTAATAATTTAGATGTTGAAAACCTACTGTAGATTGCTTGTCATCAAATCGTTAGTCCATTCATAGTCCTCTGGTAGACCTAAACAAGAATTACAGGCATCACGTAGCATATTCGTGAAGTTTGTCAATGAATCCATCACTAGGAATCTCAGTGCATCTTGCATGCTAAATTTAATCATTTCCATAAATTTCTTCAATTTAGACTGACTATACACATAAAAATCAGTTTCGTATATATTAAACCATCCTTTGCCGGTATCACGAAAGGATGTACGTATATGCTTACGTAGATTTTCCAACCAAGCATCCTAAGACAATAAAATATAGAAAAAATTCAATTATTAGTAATTGATGAAGACAAAACACGTCGGTTCAGCAAGGAGTCTTTTTTCAGTGAATTCATTCACTTAGTTGTACAGTGGCAGTTCGTATCTTTTGTATTGCTGAAGCCTCAGTTCTCCAGTTGGAAAAACCAGAGCTATGCATACAAAAGAAAATCATTCAACCAATTCTACGGTCACGGCAACAACCATGTTGATCTCTACTGACTTGATGTGTTGTGAATCTGCTTTTCTAACTCCGTATAATTCTTCTCTTCCTTTGGAACGCGTATGTAATTCCATAGTTTCCTGCGTTTCTATGTACATCCTAATCGAAACTCAATAACAAAATTATTCATATTATCGCGCAACTACAATACACCTATTCAACTCCTCTTATGCATTGACTAATATTAACAACTATTTTGTTGACAACTCATCATCACTAACTACCCTTACACTAATCTTCACCCCGCCACCTACTTAAAATTTGATTATTCATTACATTTTTTGAAATATTTTGATGACGTAAACAAGAACCTCAACTAAATTTATTCTTATATGACAAAGCTATTGTAGACACAAATATAAAAATAATTCTACGAGCTCGCCTTGTAACCAGAAGGTCCTGGGTTCGAATCCCGGTGGGTGCGTACTGCTGATGTATAGTCCCAAGGAAGGATGAAACAGTTGTCCAGTACCCCCTGGTTGGTTTTCCAATGATTGTCTAACTGATGTCAGCTCACGATGAAATCCGCAATCCAATCAAATGAAATCCTTACAAAACCAATCCTTGAAAATAAAAATAATTATATATAATTGTTAATGTACAGCTCTAAGCGAATAAATTCGCCAGTGAAAAGAGACTCTTCCAGAACTACATGTTTTGTTATCATTATTGTCTGGATGACGATTATTCATGAATAGGTAATTTACTTCTCATTCAAATATCAATCCATCGTGTGATAATTCTATGAAAGAATATTGATTCACTACATCTGAAAACTTAAAGTACAAGTCGTCAATTAACACAATATAAATACTACAGTAACTAGTATTCCATCAACAATCCACCTTATGACTCTTGATATCCCAATGATCAATAGGCATTATTCAGAGAATAAAAGGAGTTTCTCCTCCTCCTCCTCCTTCTCCTCCTCCTACATCTTTCGCTCACAAGTAACAGCAACACTTGCATTTATGATAAGTAGGTCCATACTAAAATTCACATTAGTTTATTTATCTCAGAGATAATTGAAGCATTCCCATTATAACAATTAAAGGATACTATATAAGCAGATATGTATTTCTGGTAATTTCTCAACAGACTTCACAACTACATAAGAGAATTATTGGGCATACACACTCAATACTGATGTGGTTAACACCGGTAGCATACAAGTATGTGAATAAGTGTATAATAACCAGGCTCATAATGATAATACGAATAAATTCATGAAAATATTGATGTAATTTAAGTAATCAGACACTGTGAATGTGACTGGTGTCAACGTAGAACTATTTTTACAGATGTGCGGCATTTCGAGCTGCTACACAAAGAAAGAGAAGGGAGTAAAGAGAAATAGTAAACAGAAGTGTGACTGAGGGAAAAAGAACAGCAAAATGGAAGTACAGTCGAGGTTTATTGGATATGACAAACCATCACAAAGAGTGAATGCATCTGCGCCATCACTAACTATCCCCAACCATTGGTTTTTATCATCCTGAGGTACCCAACCAGGAAATCTAAACCTCCTTACGTGGCTGGCTTAAACTAATTGTTATGGATTTCCAAAAGCACTGTGAATATGTTTACTCGTATTTATGTGCACGCGCGTGTGTGCGTGATTTTACCAGGTAAAATGTGTTATACAGAAATGTATTAATACAAGACACAGAGCCTCACCACACTACAGAAAAAGAAGCATATTAACATAACTCTGATAAGGATATTCCTAAGAAAGAATGTAAGCTGTATTCATTATTATAAAGATCATAATCAGCTTTTATTCACATGAAGATCAATGGGTTTAAAATGGTGTCCAGTGGAAATCAAAGGAAACTTGTACACTTACTTTCAAAAACATTGAAACTTGCAAAATGACCATTGACTGGGTTTGTTCGAACTCTTCGATTCGCATATGCTTTGAAAGGAGTACATGAAATAGTGATTTGCTGCGTACATCTAAGCATTCATATTGGCATTTACAAATTGCCGTTATAGCCTCAGGTTTTGTTAACATTGACCTTGATGAGAACTTTTGAAACATAACATCGAAATCATATTTGGGTATATCCAGTGTACCTTTGAAAATGAGAAAAATAAAGGTTCACAAACAATCACTGATTGTAAATAACTTTGTATTTAGTATCTACTGTTTGCTGTTCCCTCAGTTTTTATTATCAGTATGCACATCTATAAAAATTTGAATTTCACCGTAAGAGCCTTTAAGTTTCTCATCAAGCAGTCTCACTTCTCTACTATCAGTCTTTGTTTCAGCTGCTGATATTTTCCATCATTACAAGTATTTTTTGTGTGCGGATAAGTAGAATATTTGGATGTGCATGGGACAGAAGAGAATATCCATTCATAAACACTTAAGACCGAGGAATAATCGTATCAAGTTGTCAGGTTTCTATTGACCAAAAATGATAGATGACTTCGCTGTCCAACTCACTCCTCAAAATGAAAGCCGAGTAATTTATCCAAAAAAATATGTAAAGTGTGAAGCGTACGGTGAAAAAATCGAAGTGCAAGAAATGAGCAGGACAAACAGATACATAAATCTCAGTCGAACTCTATCCAGAAACTTAGCAGTCGAAACTTTAACACTTGAAAACACTACCTAAAGCTGAAGTGGACGGAAATAAAAGAATATGCGAAGAAGAAGATCACTAAAGGCTGGTCATCTGTGATCAATACTGCAGCATGTCATCAAGATTCTCCATCCACTGTCTTATAACATCCCCATGATCTTAGCTCGTCAGTCTACACTGCCTCCTACTGAAACCTATATTCAGATTTCCATGTTTCGTAAGTCTCTGCAAATATTCAGCATGTTCAAGTAATACTGAAGCATTGAAATAGATAAAAGGATAAGAAAACGCATAGCTAAAAAGTTGAAAGGAAATGTTTTGAGTCTACAAACAAGAAGCCACTCCATGTTCGATAACAATATAAAGATAACGTATCAAGGGAAGTAGTATTCAGCATGTTAGAGAAATAATTTCAGAGAATTTATTCTGCGGGTCAATTATAGGATCTGAAAGATGGAGTGTCTAGGTGAGTCACCTTTTCCTGTGTCTACAAACTAGGTTGTTTTTGTAGAGGCAGCTAATTTCTCCTTTAATACAGGAACTTGATTTTTCGTGATAAGGGATACTTACCAGAACACTATCGAAGAATCCTATTCAAAGTTGATCGTGTATTCTAATAAATCGCTAAAACCTACTAGAGGTACCTAATACTCTAAGCAGAAGAAGCTATAACAACTCACTGGGTACAAAAGAGACTAGTGTAGTCAGTGCTGACACCCTGGTTGACTGTGGATTCTATAAATGCATAAATACTGCGTTATATTATGCCATTTGGATATGGCCTATTGTCCTGTATGCGAACATTCTCCTTCCCCTGCTCATTCCCTATTTATTATTTCTTACAATGAAGCTCATCTCATGCATTCAACTTTGTACATATTAACGCTTATATGAACGAACCGTTTACTTTCCTAATTTATCTGTGGTTATTCATTTACACACACACACTGATAGACACATGGTCTTCAGCTCCATTTACTCTCCGTGTTCTTATGCTGCCATTCATTCATTCATTCATTCATATGAAGTTTACAATTATACTGAATAAAGCTCAGTGCGTACATTTATCAAAAACAATCACAACTACACATTAAATATCATTCATAATCATTAAGTTTGGATATCGGACATTCACTTCAGTATTTTATTTATGCATATTATCACATACACATGTAGTTGAACTGCAATTTTAGTTACAGTCTACTAACATATATCTCTTGGACTTTTCACCTGAATGATTTGATATTTTATTAAAAAACACTTGGGTTGTTAATTTCAGTTATTCCGATTCATGATAACAAAGTTATCGCGAAAAACTCTTTGTTTACTAATTAGTCTTTTCAAACTGAAATTAAAGAAATCTATGTCTGTAGCTAGAGCTCTAAATTATACTCAGTTCCTAATTATATTCTACAAGAGATTCTACAAAAAGTGATATCTCTCTGTGAACCAATTTACTGGTGTGTGTACTGACAGCTTGAATAATAAATGAGTCTGAACGTAGAGCTTTTCAAGTTACAACACTCCATGTGACGAAAAAGGTAGAGAAAAGAAAAGGTTTCAAGGGAACTATATAATAAACAGAAATGTACAGCAGAAACAAAGGTAAGATAAATGTGGAAGATCACAAAGAGTGAATGCATCAGCTTCAGTGAGAACGACATCGAGCCATATCATTATCAGTGTTGTTTTCAGCTATATTGTTTCTTAGCCAGTGGGAGCTATCTCGAGTTTTATCACCAGTGATCTCAAGCTACCGAATTTTTGGTGTCCCAAGGAATCCAGTCGGGTAGTCTATATGACTAAAACCAACTACAAAAGATCTCATGGAATGGTGCCAGGTTTTGATTTGACAACTATTAAATGTTTCTCAACCTAATCCTATATCAGCTAATATTGCTCGGTGATAAAGGCAGTGGATCGACTTGCTCAACTCGTGTCCAAGACATTTCAGTTGATGTAGTTCCACAGCTTTACTGATTGACTTGCCTTTCTTCCCTAACACACTACACCGGGCTTTCTTTGGCCACACATGTTTGGCATAATGTACTCAATAATACCTTCTTTTTTCAGCCACCGTGTCTCATAGCCATGAAGAAAAACAGAGCAAATTGTCGCGCATTACCCACGTTCTTTTACTGAAAGCTGAATATCACGTCTACGCCAGAGATGATATAAGTTGACCACTGCTATAAAAGTCTTTTGTATCCGTGATTACATTTCACCAGTACTCATTTCGTTGGAGATGTTGTACCCTCCTAAATGAGTGAAGTAGTCAACAGGCTCTACCAGTTTACTCCACCATCCTTAAACTGTCAGTCGGTGCAAACCACTCTTGCAGTATCATCTTACATTCGACAGAGAAGAATTGCACGCCAAACATACTAAGGTTCCTGCTCACAATGTTCATATGACTCTGAATTTTACTAGTGTCTTCACCTAGGAACACAATTTCATGTGCATACTCTAGGTCGATGAGACTATATCCTGGCAACAAATCAACCCCTAAGTCGATAAAGTCATTTAACGTCTAAGAAACAAAACAAAATGGGAACAATGGGCGTCGCTGATGGACGCCACTGGTTATCATTACCTCAGACGACAACTTTCACCAAACTCTTACACGGCTAAGTGTGTTGGTTAGCGAAATATACCATATCAGAGACGCAAAGTTAACTACACCTCATATCCACTTAACTTCTTAACACTTTATATCACTTTCTTTATAAAGCATATATGACACCGTACGTTTCCAGTCCCTTGTCTTTCTTCCTGTTCGCTATTGTATGACATATTACTTCAGAGCGTGGTGAGCTGACACGTAATGAAATCTTTTAGGACTGTGCGCCTTTTGTCTACCAGTGCATACATTATAAGGCATATTGATTTTGGACTACTGTTCACATAGATATGTTGAAACAAAGTAATAAGTATTAATAAAAACATGCAAAAATTAAACCTCAACTTAAAAGAAACGATATATATATATATAAATGCTGAACTAAAAATAAAAACGGATCCAGTTACCTTTCCATGGAATTTTACGCTTTTTTGTTTCTGGAGGCTGAATGAAACGATACTGGTTCTTGTGCTTTTCAACCAGCTGTCGTAAAATGAGGTCATTCATACTTCTCCAGTAGTCGAAAATAACTTCTTTCTCGAGGTTCTGTAATGTACTATCAAGTCTACAATTTCAGTACCACATTAAAATGTCATTTAACAAAATTACCCTTTAATGTTTTTGATTGAGCATGTGTCATCTTTGGCAAGAAAAGTCATTCTTTTTAAAACAGCACTGCTCAATTCTCCGATGCCTTCATTCGGCATACAATCCAAGTATAGATTGTATCTTAATCCTGCTTCATGCTGCTGTCGTTCTTTGAAAGCAGTAGCTACACGTTCCGCAAATATATAAGGATCTTCAGCAAGAAACATGAGTTGTATGCGAGGTATCCAGTATTGTGTTTCCAGCTCTAAAAATGTCCCATCTGACAACAGGCCACCATTCACCACTGGTTTTCCATTTTTGTCTAGAATTCTTCCACCAGAATCCACTTTTTGAACAAACCACAATTTTGAACGTGCATCATAATCTAATACTCCTGCAAGCTGCCATTTCCATTTAATCTCAGGATCTCGAACGTCCACTAATTAAACAAAATAGTAAATAGTTAATTGAAGTAATGACATCATCATCAGAACAACTGACCAGTAGTCTGCCTCAAATAAATGTGTGATGACTGCTATTTGCAAAATATTCTAAACTCACTGAGAACTTCAAATCTTGATTTAAAGGTGTATTAATCAACAAATAAATCTGTAGTAAGTAGATCATATACCTGTGTAATTGGTGATTTCATAACTTTATTTTCGAGAGTAGCTGGTAATAGAATTTAGCTTCAGTGTTTCACCCAAACGATGAAGCATAATTCAAATGTATCTTAGTGAGCAGTGACATAAAAGCACTTACTGTCCAATATTAGACAGTTGTTTATACTGAAAGAAAAAAACTAATAAATATACTTGTCAGTTTTAGATGGTTGGAAGCAATCGACAGGAAACCTCACCTAGACCTGGATTGCGTGCTAGTTGGTACTCCCCGGTCAGCAAGGCGTATCTGAAACTTCAAAGAAACTCACGTCTCTTTTGATATTCGAACCCACGTCACCAGTGCGTACTGCAGTCAGAGACGTTACTGTTGCGCTATTTGGGTTTGCAAAGGACCTCCTGTAGGACTCTGCTGGATACTTTGACTGGACACTAGTGACTAGTGTGATGTGTCTAGTTCTTTGTTTGGTACAGACTGAATTCTATCTACCTAGGTCCAAGGCTTACTGCCGACTGCCTCCAACCACAGTGATGGCGAGCTGCCTAGAATGGTGGCCACACTGCAAGCCTGATTGATAGAACTGAATCTGCACCAAAGAAAGTACTAGACATGTCACACTAATTACTGGTATCCAATCAAAATATATTAGTCAACCGATACCAACGAATTCGGTTCACTAAAGCAAAACAAGAATGTATTACTTCATTCTAATTGCAGTTGTCTTACATATTTATAAATTAAAAGATGAAGAACACAAGTGAATTAAAAGGTAGTCTACCAAATTTTATTCACAATTTTGACTTAATCACATTCATTAGTAAATACCATATCATCTACGAAGGTTTTGTGCCCTATTTACCACCATATTAACCCACTTTCGTTATTAATTACTTCTAGTTGACAAAAAACAGATGCTCCTTTAACGCAAAAATACATCAATACAAATATATGAACTTCTTCATAGGATAATCTGGCGAAAATTTTGTCTGAAATTTCTTATAGTTTAGAAGAAAAGTAACAAACCTCTAAGAATTTTTCATCTCATTTATCAGAAGCAAAGTCAGAAAGTGATAGCATTCTAACGAAAAAACGCTACAAAAATATGAATATTTCAAATTCGCTGAAGATATTTCATCCTGTCATATTATTACCATGGCAATAATAACAATAAGAAGAAGAAGAAACAAAGATTTGTTCGGTAAAGAGACAGCTCTTTTCACAATGACTTCATTTTCAAGTTTTACAGCATAACTTATGTTATTCAAGAAGATATTCAGCAGCATTAAAAATTACTCAGTCAATCTACATATGCTTAAAATAACTTCTAGAGGGTTGACTTAGTGAACTGTTAAATTACAAAGGGCCATTAGAATAGTGAATAAATTTTAAGAGATGACGTCATACAAATTAAAATTATGAAGGTAACAATATTGCAAAGGGAGATAAAATGAAGTGGGATGGAATCAACCGGAAAGAACATTGCTATGACTACAGTAAAGAAAGAGGTTCGCCGAAATGTTTTCCGTTTTCTTAGAGGTATTCGATAATTGAAGTTAATATTCTACCCTATGGAATGTGGTTTTTGGTTAGTCAAGCTTTCCAGTGAGTCATTACTCTGTGGATCCACAATGTACAAACGTTTCGCGGATATTATTAGAGTATAACTATGCTCCAATTGTGAAACACATCCTACTGTTACCGTAGCTAATATAGCTAAATTATCTGAGGATATCAGTATTTTAAGGCTCTCCATCACAAATAATGAATATATCTTTGAAATATTTCCGTATAAATAAAGACTGGAGATAACGTCTCTTAGCTGACTATTCTGTAAGCTCACCATTAAGACGTCAGCTAGGAGGGGCTCTAAAGGGGGCTGTATGTACACTCAATCTTTTTGGTTATAAACCACATCATTAAATCATTAAATGAGCATTTTAGTAATAATGCATTCAGGTATCCCACTGTCTGTGTCATCTAATTCAGCGTAGGAATGTTCTGAATTTTACTGCCCAACAATGCCAGATAAGCAACATTAAATTTCCCATTTACCCTGGGAGGCGTTTAAACCATGTGAATGGTAATATTTATAGATAATTGGATATTGTTCTCTTTTAAATATGTAATCGCGTGTTTTGCATAAACAGATTTTTCCTACAAATTGCGTAAGTACTAAACATTTTTTTCCTTTTACTCTACTGTTGTATTGCATTTATCCAGGCAAAATCAGGCCAGTTGCACTAAAATCTCATGCATTAGCAGTTTAATCACAAAGAATAAAGGCCGCCATAAAACCGTCTGCGCCTTCAGCAATTCTTAAAGTTATTTTCTGAAATAGAACTTTATATCAAAAGAAGTCTTTTCCATTACCATTTCGGAAACAAAGACATTTTGTATTTAAATAAATAAGGGACACAAGAAGAATGCCGAAACATATGAGTTTGATAGTGCTTAAGTACTCTAATATCATTGATATTATATTCAAAGTAAATAAGTTTAGAATCGTTTAAATCTCGGACGGCTCATCCATAAAACATGAACATAGAACCTGGAATATATTACCATATATTTTTCGTAGTATGACTAGTATCCAAGGGATTCGCATGAAAAATGACAACGTTTAAGTCTAATTTGGGGAGGTGATTTTGGTTGCCTTGAGTGTTTACCTACTTACGTGACATAAAGATTGATTATTCTTAACAGATATCCACCTTTTGAATGAATAATATTAGCTCCAGATTAGATTTAATGAAAGCTAACAGTAAGGTAAGGGACAGAATAAATTTAAAAAGTCACTGAGCCTAGTTTATTCAAGTAGTAACCCAGTGCACTTGAAATCTTTAGATGAAAATCCTCAGTAATACAGCCCTCAATAAATAACAATTAGTGGAACACTTTGGTCCTCTGTAATCTTTAGTATACTGAATATTTTTGGTGTAGAAAAGTGCTTTTTCATTTCATTTATCTTTAATTTGTTCAATGTTTGCCTTCGTTTTTTGGTATTTATATTCAACATTATGATAAAGGGTTTAGAATTCAAATGATAAGCGTCAGTGTATTGTTCATTAGTGATTTGAATTAACTCAAATAATGACGCTCCTTGATAGCCGTATGTTAAAATTACTGTCGTATTGAAGTGAGACATGAGAATGAACAAATGGATAAAAGAACGAATATTTGAGCTATTTAACATCCTGGTGACTCTTACAAAAGTGAATAACATTCGTAGAAAGTATTTATCTTACTTACAATCATGTTGATTGTCATCCTCTGGAAGCAGACAAATGGCTGGAACTGGTTTTCTGACCCCTTCATCTATGCCAAGTGTTAGCCAATCCGATGGGGTTCGACATTCAAAGTTTTCATCATCAAAATATTCAAGGGGAAGGTAAGAAGTCCACTCTCCCATTTCGTCCTTAAAGTTTTCTCGGAACTTAGGCAAAAGTTCACTAGTCTGTATGCGGTATTCCTGTTCCAAAAGTTCAGGTAAAGAAGCACTCTGATATTTTCTCTTTTTCCTAAACATCAAAAAGACTTAAGTTGCTAACATTCTGATTACCTTTCGATATGTAATTTTCTTGGACACTCAGTTGGTGGTGTTTGGAAAGGAAGCTGAACTTTCGGATCATATGACCTATTAGGAAAGTCCTTCAGACATAGAAACAATACAGATATCTTACGATAAATAGTTTAACTTCACTAGTGGGTCCATGAAATTCCAAACATTTAACAAGAGGTTCATTAATGTCTGCGTCCACTACAGAAGTCGAAATACAAATAAAATGATATTTGACAACTACCACAAGGAATATAGCCACCTTCTTTACTTTGGTTAATAATATTTTGATTCCAGTAAGTTGCTGAGTTCTGTTGCTAACGCAACGTGTACAAGCTTAATATAACTTACGTCATAATGTCGTGGCAAGTATGAAGTATATAAGTCAGAGTAATATCCCCTTTCCTTTATCTCAGGATAATCTTTCGAATTCTCATCAGACATTTTCGATATTCACCAGAATAAAAATTGCAGCAAATATTTTATTTAGAGTCAGAATTTCATTTTCGAAAAGCCACAAACATATTACTATGACATCATTTGAAAGTAGGTAGTAAAACAAAAAATCAAGCTAGCATTTTCTTTTCCAGTAGGTTAAAAAGCCTAAACTTCCAATTATTAAGATTTCTATGACAGAATCTCATCCATTCTTAATTGAAACGATATGTTTTGTATTAGTTCTACGTGTAATTGGCCATTTGGATTCAGTCCTTGCGTCGCTGCATTATTGCTCAGCCTATGGTTACAGCTTTCCACGCACTGTGAACTAGCTACAGCTGCTGTTAAAGAATTCTCGAGGTGACGAATTCTAAAAGGAAAGAACTAATTGTTACACATTACTCGCATTCTGTGACCTACGGGTGATTAGTGGATCTGTATTTCATTTGTTCGAGCGGCGAGTCTTCCGGAATTTTTAAGTCTCGCTGCAACTTATCTGAGCCCTCCAAATATTTATCGCTATGTAGATTTATGCACTTTTAGAGTAAAAGCAGACGGTAAAGGTCGATGCCACGGGAAGTCATCCGCAAAATTCAAGCGCAAATAGGTTCATAGAATAGAACTATGTGATACTCATAATGACAAAGTGTACCAAGATAATGGCAAAGGATTGACCACGGCGCGAAATCCCTGTTCCTCTAGGCGGTCCTCCTCTGTTGCGTTGCTTAAACGTCTTCGGACTCGCTTCCTGTTGACTTCAACTAGAAATAACGTTCATGACTGTTGTGCGGGCATCCATTCCGCCACAACTTAGGTTTGGCCACATCACTTGATGTATCTTTAGCTTGGCCCGACGGACCTAGCGGTCGGACCGCTTTTAAGACCATCCCAAAAAGATATGATAGAATATAACCCTTACGGTCACTGATCAATGCAATTAATAACTGTGGTATGAAGAGAGTACATAGGTATACAAATTCACCTTAGCGCAGAGTCGCGCGCCCTTATTCTTAGAAAACTCACTCGCCATCATACTGATCAAGTCATCACAGACAGATGAATTGACCGGTGGGATTGAAATAGCTTAAATTCAACTGAGTACATGAACACCTTCATCCTTCCTTCACTTCAGAGGTTCGAGAAGCGGGCCACCAACTGCAATCTGACTTATTTTGTGAAGCCTAATGTCAAGCAGAACTTTAGAAAATGCCTCGGCGAATTCTAGGACGATCACGTGGATTGGAATATGAATATTTCTGCACAATGTCCTATGATTCTACGCTGATAAGAAGTTTTGCATAGGCAGTTTTTTCCTCCCATGGAACTATGTTGCTCCTATCCAGGTGTCGCCCGATATGATCACCAGTCGAAGATTCCAGTAACTTCAGGTCCTCTGGAAGTTATGCAACCGGTTTGAAACTAGTTTTGTTACGCCTCTCCCCACTCTTCAAGATTTGAGTCAGGGTGGTTGTCATCAATTCCTTTGGTAGCTCATCTGAATCCATGGCTTACTGCAACTGATCACACAGGAGCCTGCAGACAGCTTTTGCGCACTGTTTCAAAACAGATGGGCGAATGACATCATGGTGCGGAAACTTTCCAGAGGCAAGTTTCGCAACTTCCCTGGAACCATTGTTGGACTGTCTAATATTGTTCTAGTTTCTTTACAGGAAACAACTTAAAATAAGGTTCAGTCAACGATAAATGTTGTCCGAATGCCACAAATGTCTGATTCCCGTTATTATTTCGGAAAAGTCCTGATTACTGATGAAGTCATTCAAAATAATTTTGTAAGTGTAATTTCTAAAACAGAGGACATTTTCCATTTTCCATCTTTCCTTGAGATTATTTGGTCTCGCCGAGGCTCTGCTTTCATCCTATCACGCAAATCATCACATTCTGGAAATATGTTGGAACTCCAAAGTTACAGGCGATTATAAGTAATTGCAAATGAGTTTGCATTCCGCGAAATTTACATGCCAGTGAAAAAAGGTTCCGATTACATCTGTCAGTCAAGTCTCATAAACCGTTAATGTCCAGCTCTCGCTACACTGGACCTCACGCTGTCCCTCGAAGACTTTCAGAAACACTTTGTATTAACCAACGGGAAAAAGCAGATCACTGATTGGCGACTCGAGAATCCTTTATTCTTACGCCAACATATAACCAACAATAAGATTATTACACAAGGTCTAAGAACAAATATTACGACAATAAATTATGATAATACTTCTGATAGTTTTTTAATCTTCCTTCTGAAGGGCGACCGATGAGACGATGACCGTCGGATTGATGACTCCTCGAAAACATGGGGAAGTTGGGTTTGAGCAAATAACCATGAATTGATCGTTCAATCTTCAACTACATTGACACTCCCGACAAAACACCGATCCATCTTTTTTTCCATCACGACCAACACATGCTGACTTGGATGCCATTGCGAGAACTTGAGTCACACGGAAAAACCTGAAATGGAAAACAAACAGCGAAGCAAATACACCACAGGTATACTCACAGCACAATCCCACACATCAATGATGATCTACGCCTTCGAGTTAAAGGCATCCTCTTGACATCTTGCAACACAATCGCCACTTGCTAGAATGACTCTTGCAGAACGCAGCGTGACCATAGCAGCACCTCATGATACTCTTCGCACAACCTCTTATCTATTCACCACCAATTACCACTGAAATCGCTTGTCACTCATTCTGCCTCAGTTCTAGTAACGGTGACGTATGCGAGCCTCAGTCGTCCACACTCTTGTTCCCCGGCGTGTGGGAGCACAGCTAATCATTACATCCGTAAGCATGTCATTCTCAGCACTAGCCTAGCCTCCCCGGTGTATACGACCCATCTGCTGTCTTTAACATCCAATATCCAATATCCTGATGACGAGCTAGTATAAACCAGTGATTTCTTTGAGCTCGCTTCTTGATTGTGAGGTAGAGGTTCCAGATCTTCGGTGAGCTTCTGCGTAGTAAGTCCCGACACTCGACTGCTTTAGCTCTGGTAGACTCCAGGAGGAGTGGTGCGGGGATTGGTCGAGATGTGGTTTGTAGTATGCAGTATGTTAGGACTGTATTGCTGCCGTGAATGGAGTTTGACCTAACTCCCCTTGGTCATTCGGTGTAGTCATAAAAGCAGAATAGTAATAATAATAATAATAGGTTGTAGTGTAGATAATATAGGTTGAGATAAGTGGAATAATAAAGGTGACCTAAGGAAAAGATAGAGTGAGAGAAGGCAGAATAGGTCGTGGGGATTTAGTTAGTACGCTTATTCATTGACAGTTTGGTTTCAAATTTTATGAGGATAAGCCATTGAGACACAAACCTTGCATTTCTGCATGATTGTCTAGCTTCCGCTTAAAAATCTCCACAGATGGCGCTGTAGTCACGGCCGCCGGTAAAGCGTTCCAGAGACGGCAAACACGAAGCGAAAAGAAATGTGATCGCACTCGAGTCTTTGGTCTCTGGTGTGCTATCCTTAGCGGGTTACCTCGTGGAAGCCTATAATCGCTTAATGGCAGGATGCTTTTATTTGGGTGGGCCTGGTCATTTAGGATCTTGTAGACGGTGATGAGGTCTCCCCTGTGCCTACGGTAACTGAGTGTGAAAAGACCTAATTTCTTTAGTCTTTCCTCATATGATTTGTTGCGGAGGCCGATCACCCATTTTGTCGCTCGTCTCTGGACACTTTCTAGAATGTTAGCATCCCTTTTGAGTAGCGGAGGTGCAATGATATTATGCACCTCAAGGTGTGGCCTCACATATGCCTTGTATAGCCTTAAGAACAGTTCGGGAGTGAGAGCTCCCAGCTGCCTGTGCATAAAGTGTAATGTTGCGTAGGCTTTGGCGACGTCCCTCGAGTAATTTCCACTGGTGTCTAGCTTTTCTGTTAGAATAAGACCTAGATCACGCTCTGATGGAACACAACTCAAGTTCTGGCCACCAAGGGTGTAATTTACACTCTGTGACCTGCCGGAATGAAGCTGCACTACTTTGCACTTCTTTAGATTGAAAGGCATTCCGTTAGCCAAAGCCCAATTTCCCAGAGTTTGCAGGTCAGCCTGCAATCTATCTGAGTCTTCCGATGAGTTTATTGCTCTCCAAATCTTTACGTCGTCAGCGTAAAGAAGCGCAGAGCAGTTTAGTTGGGGGGGCAGGTCATTGATAAAAATCAAAAACATCAACGGCCCTAGGATAGAACCCTGAGGAACCCCTGATGCCGAGGTGTGCCAAGATGATCGGATGCGGTTGACTTTGGTGCAGAATTCTCTCTCGCCTAAGTAATCTGTCAGCCATGCGAGAAGTGCTCCAGAAACTCCCGCCTTGCCTATTTTGTGAAGGAGCAGACCATGGTGAACTGTGTCGAATGCTTTCGCAAAGTCGAGAAAGATCACGTGGGCTGGTACCTTTTTGTCCCAGGATAGTGTCCAATCGTTCCAGGCTAGTAGAAGATTCGTCACGCAGGATCTTCCCCTCCTGAAACCGTGCTGTGCTTCGTGAAGAAGGTTAGTCCCATCGAAGTATTTTCTCATGTGGTCGTCAATGAGACTTTCCAATATCTTCGATACCACTGGAAGTAGAGCAACTGGTCTGTAACTGGTCACATTCTGCCGGTCACCACCCTTGAAGATAGGGGATAGGATTGCACGTTTCCATTCACATGGAAGTTTCCCTACATCAAGGGAGTGTTGGAACAGATCACTTAGGGGTTGACAGAGACTTTCTGAACACTGCTTCAGGACAGATGGTCTGATGCCATCACAACCTGGAGACTTTCCCGAAGCCAACCTTCCCAATTTTGCAAGTACCATAGCCGGGGTAATTTGAAATGTCCCCAGCAGGTTTTCGTGTGTTGGTTCTGCGATGTAATCTGGATGTTCTGTAGGGGTAATATCCTCGTTACTATTTAGTTGCCTGTGAAAGGCTAGGCTGAATGTCTCTGCCATTTCAAGACTAGTAAGAGATTTCCCATCAGAACCCACTAGATTGCATGCT